ATATTCAGAATTATGGTGCCAACACTCACCAATATTTCATTTGAACGTATATATTAAATGGCTATGATCCATTATCGATTCTGGTTTACTAGTGCAGTTGTTTTTCATCACAAGAAATGACGTTCTTTGGTTGGAGTAGTATATTTGTAGTTTAACACTCGTTTTCGTTGATTGCTTTGACGTTATTTTTTATGAATCTTTTCATAATTTTTTATCCTGTTCGAAAGCGGTTGACATGTGACTCTTATAGAATATTACTATGTTATTTTTGTTACTATTGTTGGTTGCATTGTCGTTGTTGCTGATTTTTTGTTCTTTGCCTTCTATTATTTTCTTGATCATGGAATTTTGTTAATGAGCAGTTTAGTAATTCTATCTAGTTCTGTTCTCCTGCTTTCTATATCAGAAGAGTGCGTGTAAGCTCGGTTTACAAAGGCAGAAATCATGCTCTGTAGATATGTTTGACAACATTCACTATTACCATTGAGACATAAACTTTTGTTTGTTGCTTTGATGTAGACTGAGGTTTTAAATTCATTTTGCACATTTTGTATTAGTACGTCTAGGAATGGTAGTTTATTGTCAGTTGATTTTTCTATTGTAAAATTTAATTTTGACGAGTTTAGTCGTTGTAGAAGTCTTGCTATTTGATCATCATCTTCATATGTAACAAATTAATCGTCAACATAATGGCAGTATATATTAGGTTTTAGCTCTGGATCTTCTTTAAATAACATTTCTTCGATATGTCCAACGTAGAAGTTTGCGAAGAGTACTCCCAATGGAGAGCCCATTGCTACAGAAACTATATGCTGTTACCCGGGCCAACGAAAGGCACCGCGGATGTACATATTCTTAGCAGCGCAACTAATTCATCTTTTGGAGTTGGTAGAGATGAATGGCTGAAATTGTATATCCTATCTATTATTATGCTGATTGAGAGACATTTGTAAAGAGTGACTCCCCATCCAAAGATGCTATTTTGGTGTTAATGGATGGTTTTGTTGAAAAAGAAAAAGCACCATTTTATAATGAAAAAAGGTCTATTTTTTAATAAAAGACTAATTTTTACGTCTGTAGAACGGAATTAAAACAATGGCAGTGTTGTTGATATCTGCACTGCAGCAGAAAAAAATTTGCTTCATAGATTTACTGATGATAAAATAATTTACAGGTTGTCTCACAAGTCCCTCTTTAAAATCACAACTACTCTGTGTATGAATTTATTAATCTAGAAATAATAGTACTTTTGAACCTGACAATGCGACTAATGTTTTCATTGGAATTTAGTTCTTTAACATTTCACGCCTTATATTTATTTGGTAACTATGACTAATCACTTTTTCATTAAAATTTAGACTAATTATGTCAACCGCCCTGACAACCTTACAATTTATATTATCTATCATAACATATTCTGACTTAAATACAAATATTGAGACAAGTTGACGCAGGCCGATAAACACTCATATTAATAAAACAAAAATAATTGGAATGAGAAGCAAATGAAAACGAATGTCGAAATTTTTAAGCCGTTGAGTAAAACGTACTTGAAATGCTGTTTGATAGCATCTGGTAAATAATATGATTAACGGGTGGAAGAGATTTTAAATGTTGTTCTGCTTAGGAGGTTCGCGCACACCTCGCATGGTTTACAAAAAATATGTAAGCACAAGTGCAAGTGTCATTGAAATAATAAATTGAAAATGATGATGTAAATATAATATTATGTAATATAAACAATATTAATTATTATAATGGAATTCTTTTCTACAACAATGTATGACGACGCAGTAACAAAGTCAATTTAATACCTGTACCTCAACAAATTTTTAGCCAGTAAATTATCATTTTACAAGCTTAAAACAGCTCGCACAAATTATGAATTTGAGCATTAATAAAATAGTAATTTTTATGTTAACCAATGAAACTTTTTACATTGCACGTGCATGTCAGTTCATTTGATTGATAGATTTCATCATTTCATCGCTGTCAATATCGAATTCTTATATAAGAAGATTCTCTTCCAAAAATCGTTGTTTGTTTGTGTGTGTGTGCGTGTGTGCGTGCGTGTGTGTGCGTGCATGTGTTTTGTTTGAGGTAGGAAAATACTTTTTATACTCCGGGATGCGTTTCCTGGATATGTCGGACTCGACGAGTAGATCCCATACCGACCAAAAACCTTCTTGACTCCTAGTCTCTGTTTCCCCCGCTGACACGCAGTTCATTTTATAATAACTACAACATTCAAATATCTATCGTTGATCTTTTGTCTTTGGTTATTATTTGCTTTTTGTCTTTCCATGATCCGCAAATTATAGACAACATCAAACGCAAATGCATCGATTGCATCCCAAGCAATTTTCAATCCATGACTGGATTTTCTGTTGGAGAACAGTTTCCAAATTTTTTCTAATCATGTTGAAGCGAGGAATCGAAAAATACATGCTATGCATCTTCATTAACTCCTGGACAGGATGGGCATCCCGAAGAAACATCATGCCCAAAGTGATGGAGTTATGTCCGGAAACATCCATGTCTCGAAAGCATCTGCGTCAGGTAATAGTTAACCTCACCGTGATTTCGGTTTAACCAAACATATATTTGAAATATAAAACGGTTTGATAGCATCTGAAATGCCTTGCGTGAGAGGTCCACCTACCAGCTGTTGCAGAATCACAATGCATTTGCCATCGATGTTGATATAAAGCCTTCCTTTCTTTGGCCAGTTCCATGATAACAGGCAATTGCCAGCAATTACACCTGTTCTGTTTTTTCCTCCTGTTCTGTTTTTGACTTTCCACGTTAGGCATTAACGGTGATAAAGCTATTTTCACTGTTATCACCGTTAATGCCTAACGAGGAAACACGTGTTTCGTTTGTTGTTTAAAGTTTAGTTGGTCGGGTATCAATCACTATCTTCTTTCAGGTACCAAATAAATGGTTATAATGATTTTTTATGTTCTCAAAATGACAGCGTAAAGGTTTTTCTTGTTTTCTTCCTGTAATAAGCGCTGCATCCGTTTTTTGTTTTGCCAGTTTCAGTTAAACAATCAGTTTTATCCATTTTATTTAAATTTAGAGCTTTCATGTCTTGCTCGATTGTTTGCGACCAGGACTTCTTTGGACGGCCTTTGAGACGTGTGCCAGTTACTTCAACATCTGCAAGAGAAGTTATGACACTGTTTCCACTTCGTTTGACATGGCCAAACCACCGCAGACGGTGTTGCCGGCATTCGTCCTTTATATCATCTAAACCAGCACGACGCAGGATTTTGGTAGATTTGATGTGGTCTTTCAGACTAATTCGTTGCATGCATCGGAGCATTTTTATGTCGGTTCGTTGAAGTTGTTGTTCCAGTTTGGTTGTCATTGGCCATTTTTCTGCACCATATAACAACACCGGACGTATTACAGATTTATAAAGTCGTGATTGTAGTGGTAGTGGGATGTCATTTATTCCAAGCTGCACGTATCTGTTTTCTCTCCAACGTGGCTATTGATATCACCTTCAATCAGGATTGTTTCAGATTTTGGTAATTTTGAGATGGTATCAGAGAATGCAGCCCAGAAGTCATTTTTCATCTCTTCTGATTCGCCTGTCTGTGGTGCGTATGCAGAAAAAATAGTCATTGTTTGCTTTCCTAGGCCAAAGCTTGATCCACATGAGACGTGAATGAATCTTTTTACTATCCAGTATTTCTTGGGCTAGCGGTTCTTTGACAAAAATTCCAACACCATCTTTGGCCGTCTTTTGACCATTCCAGAATAGTTTATATTTTAATTTAGTTTATAATTACTATCTCAATCAGACTCCACAACTAGTCTTCGGAAGACATCCAAGTTCCCTTTTAATTTCAGTGATCCTGGTTCATGGCCACAAAATTTTTCTAATTCAGAAAGGTGTTTCATAACAAAAATGAGATTTGAAAATTTGGCTGAACCAAATTTAATTAACAGTAGCAGAGAAGGACGCAATTTAACCAAAGATTGGTTTTATAAAGGTCTCAAAAATGGACAAAAATTAAAAAGATCATGGTTAGCTTATAGTGAAAATAATATAGCTCTCTATTGTATTCCTTGCAAGCTGTTTCCTCACTTAGCTAAAGGAAAAAGACTTACCAATTGAAAAAGAATAATACAAGACATTTTGGATGCAAAATGTTTTTCCTTAATATTTGACTGCACTCCAGATATCAGTCACAGTGAACAAATGACTCTGGTAGCTCGTTACGTCAAAAAGATACAACGGAAATAGATGAAATTTTCATTGATTTTTTCCCAGTTAGTGACAAAACAGGTAAAGGTCTCAATCAAGAAACTTAAAAAAATTAGACTTAGATGGACTTAACTTGGAGAATTGTAGGGGTCAATCTTATGACAACGGGGCAAATATGGCGGAAAAATATAAATGAGTACAGTCCAGATTATTGCAGAAAAACAAACTGGCATATTTTGTTTTGTGTGCTGCTCACTCTCTCAATTTGGTTGACTAAGAATTTTTTCGGAACTTTGAACAGTTTGTATTCTTTTTTTGCAGTTTCAACTTCACGCTGAGAAGTTATCCAAAAAAATGTGCCGATAACATTGAAGCCTGAAAGCAAAACAAGATGGTCTGCAAGATTAGATGCGGTCGAAGTTGTATATAAACATTATAGTAAAGTGATGCAGGCTCTAGAAGGTTTTAGAAGTCATGATCTCTCAACTCCTCAAACTGTGAGTGAGGCAAGCTCTCTTTTGAAAAATATTGAAAAACTTGAATTCATTGAGATGGTTAATTTTTGGCATCCATTGTTAGAAAAAATTGACCACGTAAACGAATTTTTACAAAAAAGAGATTTAACGGTAGATTTGGCTGCCCGAAACCTCAAAGAACTTTTAACATTCATGAAGTCTTGCAGAGAGTTTGCACCATCTGAAGCCATTGCTGATGGTAAATTGTTAGCAAAAATGAATAATCTAACATCTGAATTTTCAGAAAAGGAACCAAGAAAAAAAAAATGCCTGATGAGTTGTGTAACAGTGAAGCTTTTGCAAGTGTTGAAAATGTGTACCAAGTGGCTATGTTAGAAATCATTGACCGGATAATTACAGAACCTGGTGACAGATTTGAAGCTTTGAAAAATGTAAACAGCATGTTTGGATTTTTGAGTGGTGTTAAAATTGAAAAAATGCAGATAGTAAATCTAAAAATTAAAGCAGAAAAATTGGCAAATAGATACTCAGCTGATCTCAACATTGAAGAATTCAACTTTGAAATAGAAGGTTTTAAATATCACGCTTTGACAGTTGACAAAAGTTTGAAAAAAGCCACATCAAAAGAAATGTTAACTCTCATTTATAAAAATAAATTTAAAAAAAGCTACCCTAACATCACAGCTGCATTTGAGAATGTTTCTCACATCAAAGCCACATCAAAAGAAATGTTAACTCTCATTTATAAAAATAAATTTAAAAAAGGCTACCCTAACATCACAGCTGCATTTGAGAATGTTTCTCACATTGCCTGTCAGTGTCATCTGGAGAACGAAGTTTCAGCAAACTCCAAATCATCAAAAACTATATGAGAAGTACAATGGGGCAGGAGAGATTTTTCAATCTAAGCATAATTTCAATCGAATACAAACGAGCATCCCTTGTCAATTTTGATTATGTAATCAATACATTTGCAGCTAAAAAAAGCTAGAAGAGTTTGTTTTTAATGTATTACTAATATATAAAACAATTACTTGAAACGTAGACGCTGCAATATAAACAAAGTTTTTCACTTTTTAATGTTGTCGATTTCTAGGTATGTTAACATGTATATTGATATTAAAATAATGAAAAACATGTAATTTAAAAAACTGCATTTAAACGATAGCTTACGGTAGTAACATAATAATAACGTGGTAAGGGGCGGCACACTGAGTTTTACCTCCCTGGCAAATACGCTAGTTCCGGCCCTGAGTTCGATCGATGGCAGTTCAAAATGATGAGGTAAAAGGAAAAGTTCTTCATAAAAATTTGAAATACACCTCAAACTGAAATCTAATAAGTTACGGAAAAAACAGCGGCGATGTACTCGAGGGTTTTATATATGGGCAATTAAAGAGGTGTGTGGATTAATTGTTAGCCAGTGTAGATAAATGTACAAAAATGAGCTGGAAGCTATTCTGGAAAGTCTAGAACAGCTTTTGCAAGTTTGTTTTGGTGCTAAATAACGAAAATTATTAAGATGATTTTGATAACAAAGAATCACATTAGGGACAAAAAAGGGACATACCAAATCATATAATAGCAAGTTTTTATGAGATGTGTGATGTTTGAATGTACTGTCTAGAAGTTTGTGACTGGTTCATACGATTTCATGCTCGAGAGTGAACATTTAGTGAGGTTTGCTAAAAAGAACATAAATTTCACATTTCTGTGAATTTAATTGAAAGAGTTTAAAAAGTAGGTATGTATATGTGTGTCTGTCAGTGTGTATGGGTGTATACATGTGTATATTTTTTATAGACTTTTTTACATTTATATTAAACGTGACATTTTAGGCTTGAAGCATTTAGATCATAAACAAAATTGCAACTAAACTACTGAAGTACCAAGGTCACGAGGTCAATGTGGTCTACATGAATCTGGTCGTTTGTTGTTCAAACTTCAAGAGTATGGTGCGAATGGAAAAATAGTAAAATGGATCGAGAAATATTTCAGCAACAGAATTTTTCAGGTCAAACTAGATGATGCCTTATCAGAGTCAAAACCGATTTTGAGTGGGGTCCCTCAGGGTGGGGTTTTGAGCCCGTTGCTTTTTCTTATTTATATTGATGACATTTCATCTGTATATGACAATATCCTACTTTTTGCAGATGATTCAAAATCTACGGAGTATTGAAGAGTGAAAAAGACAAAAACAGTTTTATGCGAGATATTGGTAAATTAATAGTTTGGCTTAAAAATAGGTAATTTTAATTGGTAATTGAAATTAAACACATATAAATGTCAAAATTGGCTCAAACAAACCGTGTTTACCCTACACCATTTTGCATGCCAACCCAGCCGTCCATCTTTCCGAGGTCGGTAAATGAGGAGACGACGTAAGTTGTCTCATGTTGGCCGGCGAGATGGCTCAGTGGTTCAAATGCGCGCTGAATCAAATATCTCTTTCTTTTAATATTACTGATTCTTGTCTATCCTGGTTTTCTTCTTATTTCTGTAATCGTTTTTTTTCTGTTGTTCTCAATAATTCTACTTCTAACTCCTCTACTCTTACTTTCTGGGTACCTCAGAGTTCTATCCTTGGCCCTTTCTATTTATACTCTATACTTCTGAACTACCTCGTATTATTAATAACTTTTTTTTCTCTAGTCAACTAAATGCTGATGATTCTTACATTTATACTTCTTTTCCTCCATCTAATCTCAATAGTGTTCTTCATAATTTATCTCTATGTCTTTCTTCAATTATCGCTTGGTCTGACTCTATGTGTCTTAAACTTAATCCTTCTAAATTTGAATTAATTTGTTTTAATAAATCTAAACACTCTATTACTATTCCTCCTATTATTTTACCTGATTCTAAAACTCTTGATGTCTCTCATAAGTTTCGTAGTCTAGGTTTTATCTTTGATTCTACTATGTCTCTCTCTTCTCAGAGAGTTAAGAAGAAGTGTTGCTAGAAGCTCTTACTTTCATTTACGTAGAATAAAAAAACTTTTGCCTTTTCTTGATGATCCTACTCTTCTCCTTCTTGTTACTTCGTTAGTCTTATCTAGGATTGATTATTGTGCTCTACTATGGTCTTCCTGACTCTATACTCTATCCTTTAAGTAAAGCTTTTAACTCTGCTGCTCGTCTAGTTGCTGGTGCCCCTTTCTTTTCTCATATATCTCCATATCTTGTTCTCTTGCATTGGCTACCTATAAAATATAGAATAATTTTTAAAATTTGCACGTTCATGTATAAGTCTCAATCTAAATTATTTCCTAAGTATTTATCAGATATATTAATTGAACCTAAACGCCCCGGTTTATGATCGTCTTTTGGTTCTCGCTTCTTCTTAACTCGTGTTAAACACTCTTTTGCCAAATCTGCTTTTGCTTTTTCTGGTCCTTTTCTCTGGAACTCTCTACCTACTTCTCTGACTACTTCTCCATCACTTGCGAAGTTCAGAGCGGATATCAAGACCCATCTGTTTTCAAAATTCATTGAGGAGCGCTGTTGAACATCGCGGAAATAGCGCTTTATAAGCTAATTGATTGATTGATTGATTGATCTCAATGGCTATCATAAACTCAGCGTATATGATGCGGTTGACAGCAAGTAATGGCAATCTACTGTCCACAACCTTTTTCAAGAAAAACCATCGACAACTACTACAAGGTGTTAAAAAAGTCGTTGGTCGCCAATGTCTTGAAAAGGATAAGGCAAAAAAATATAAGAAGAAATCTCATAGGTATTCGGGCTGCTGATGAGTAACGATAGGGACGAAACACGTGTCCAGCCTATCCAAACGAATACTATTCTTTTCTTCTTTTCACTCCTGCTCACTGCTCTTCCTGGTATGGTGTTCTCATACATTAGCGCAATCACAACAAACCTGTGGTAACGTTAGATTAGTAGATTATGTGCGCTCGGTGCTACCGACATAGAGATGAAAGAACTCAAAGAATCGGCTATAATTGTTTATAATGTCAAATATGGAGCCGGTTTTAAACCACAAAATGTTCGATACCATACCTTTATTCAATCAATCAATTTATCAACCATGGGAGTCTCCTTTATATGATAGTTAAAAAAATCTCTGTAAAGTGACTTAAGAAAAAGATAGGATGATTTAAGAGGTCCAGTTGTGAATTGACACAATTTTTCTAATATTTTACAACAAATTACAGTTATACCATAATATTTTTTCAGCCCCATTTTTAGTAAAATAATTTCGTTATAGAATGAAAATATATTACGCATTATTATTTTTCCTGAATATTCATTAGCTACATAAAGCTAAAACTGCTAAACCAAGTGGAGTATTATCAGATAAAAAAATGCTGTTGTTAAGAAAACTATGAAACTGTTGTATTTCACAGTGCATATGATTCAAAAAACATCGTGCTCTTGACATGACAACAAAAATATTTAGTGATTATAATAAAAAAAACGTTGGACGTTTAGAGAGATCACATACAAGTAGGTGGAGTTATTCAAAGAGCGTGCACATCAGATCACATACAACATGCGTTCACATTAGACGTCTGTACACTCTGCATGTACCACTCATTTGCTTTTGTATCGGGTGGTATTAGTAGAAACAAAAATGAATGAACGAAGGCGCTGAGTCTTCGTCGTGTCCATTTTGTTTTCAATATACTTCGTTTTTACTTAATTTAACAAAATAGTAAAAGTTTAGCTAAAATTAAAATATTAAATTTGTACCTTGTTTACTATTCTAAAAATCGAAAATTCTAAAAAACTCTGGAAAATGGATATATAAACAAGGTTAATATTAAAATGGCGTTTTCTAATTTTCTCATATAAAATATAAAAATTGAATTGAATCCACTGAATGACTAACTAAACGGAACGGTATTCAGCCGCAAAAAATCGACAAAATATTGATCATGTTATTTAAATTTTGTAATATTAAATTTATAATTTTAGATTCTAATGTTTTTTTCTTTAGTTTTAGTAGTTAATTAAACATTAAAAACTTATTTATAAAATATTTATAATTTTATACTATATTACTAGTTTTATTAATTTAATTAAAATTATTAAGGACAAGCTGGGTAAAAAATATTGAAATATATTCTAAAGTTTTTTTTAATTAAGTATATATTATAATAATTATAATAACTTAATTATTGTTTTTTAAATAAGTGGGATGGTTGTTTAATTTCTGAAATCTGAAATGTAAAAAAATATTTAAAAACAGGATGTATTTAAATTTTAAAAAAGGAACAGCAAAAAATTAGAAAGAATGAAAAGATTAATTAATTTTGATATTAGTTAAATTAAATTAATATTAATTATTGATAATTTTATTTACCTTCATTGTATTATTAATTGTTTAATTATTATTATTGACCATTTTAGTATTAAATAAAGGCTTTATTTATTTTAGTGTTAATCATTAAAATGAAATTATTTGTCAAACAATTTGATAATTGACAATTTTATTGACCTGCATTATATTATTAATTGTTTAATTATTATCATTGACCGTTTTAGTTTTAAAGGCTTTATTTATTTATTTTAGTGTTAATCATTAAAATGAAATTATTTATTGAACAGCTGTTTTTAGTTTTATTGATATTGACATTTTATACTTATGTATGAGCTTGTACCAAAGTCAGAACATCATAAAATAAGCCAACCTAAAATGATCACTAAGATATTTTGTAGATTGTTGAAGTCTTGCCAAAATTAATCAATTCATATTTAAAAATAAATGATTAAAATTGATCAAAGAAAAATTAGCAAAACTTCTGTTGGTTTTTTATAGAAATATTTCTCTAAGTTGCTACTATTATTTAGTTAAATTTAGGGGAAGTGAGTTTAAAGATCTATAACCGTATATATGCGAGATTGTGGATAATAGTTTTGGTTTTTATTTTATAGTATGTAAAATTTAATTTCAAAATGTACTAATAAATTATAGGTTTTGTAACAAGTAAAAGCTTAAAATAAATATATTCAAAATTCTAAATTCAACTGTTTTTTCAATGTTAACTTAAGGTTTTCTAACTAGATTTCTTACTGCTTGCATATATATATATATATATATATATATATATATATATATATATATATATATATAAAGTATAAGATTTATATGTGGAGTTGTAGTTATGTGCAATATTTTCTTAATGGACAATGAAAGGTAAATTGTAGATTGTTCTAAGAAGGTTTTCTAACTAGATTTCTTACTGCTTGCATATATAAATATATATATATATATATATATATATATATATATATATATATATATATATATATATAAAGTATAAGATTTATATGTGGAGTTGTAGTTATGTGCAATATTTTCTTAATGGACAATGAAAGGTAAATTGTAGATTGTTCTAAGAAGGTTTTCTAACTAGATTTCTTACTGCTTGCATATATATATAATATATATATATATATATATATATAAAGTATAAGATTTATATGTGGAGTTGTAGTTATGTGCAATATTTTTTTAATGGACAATGAAAGGTAAATTGTAGATTGTTCTAAGAACTAAGGGTTTGCTGTAATTTTTATGCATGATTTACTTCGATTTCCAGTTTAGTAACAAGTTCTTTAAACAATTTTTAAATCTATAACTTCTGGGTAGAATCAATCAATCTTCGTTTTGCGTCCAGAGACCCGGTTTCCCGAGGTAGGACGTTGTTTTCTTTGCCATCAGCTTTTTGCGCCAAATTAGACGATCAGTAGTATTGTTTAAATAATAAATATTGTTCTAATTAATTATAGAACTCTCCAAGAAATAACTTAACAACATGCCAATAGCTGTGACAAAACGAAAGAGGGACAACACATCCCCTAATACAATTTCGTTAGGAGCAAGCAACATTGGCAACACTTCTGATGAAAGAACCAGACAACAATTTCTAAGGGCTTTTGAAAGAGAGTCCATTGTGGGACATCATGTATGTAACAATTTTTTTGTAACAATTTTTTGTGATCAAATTATTTTCCTAAATTATTCTCTAGGAATATAAAGTGATGTGATACAAAGTTTTCTGTTTATATGTTTTTGTGTATATTTTCATATATGTGTGTAGGTTTGTTTGTATTTACAAACCTAGGTATGTTTTCTTTTAAAATGTATATCCATGCAGACAATAGAATTTTTAAAATGGTAATAATATTTAGAGAATAAAAATGATTTTTGACAAATAAAATTATTTTTAAAGAGTAAAAGGTAAATATTCATAAAAGAAAACTTTAAAATGTGAACAATTTGTTTTGAGATTGATTGAGAGTAAATTAAATTATTGATGTTACCAACCATCCACTAAAACGCATAGTTTACAATCAGAAGATGAGGGATTGATAAAACTATAGTGGTTAGTGAGGACAGCAAGTTTCTACATGAATTGTTTTCATAAACCTTGCACTATGGCATTGAAACCGGCACAGTTGAGAAAAAAGCAAAATTCTGAAGAGAAACAACTTATGTTCATAACAATTTCTCAAAAGCATTTAGACTTTTTGACAAGTAGAACTGTAGACCATAGGAAAGAAAATTAAAAGTAAATGAAACAATGGCAATATTCATGAAAAAGAATGGCTAAAACAAGAACAGAAAGTCCCAAAAATTTGTGGCTTTCCAAAGAATAGTTAAAGATTGCATCTAAGATTAATTAGTTAGTCAACCAATGTAGATGTGCATGAGAAGAGAACATTGAGAAGTTGATGTTCATAGGTTGCTGCGTTGTACAAAATACTAAGGGTAAATAACTTAAATTAAATGCATGACATGCTACTTTATTCCTTGTGTTATATTAATTGACTTGACTTATCAATTTATTTGTAAAAAAATGGCTGTAAAACAAATCATCATTTGCAACTTGAACTAAAATGTAACCAGGCATTTTTTAAACAGTGTTTTGCACCTTCTTGAAATTTTTAGATGGTTCTATTTATTAAAAATGTTCAATATACATCAACCATTCAGTTTGAATTGGACATATCACCTCGAAGTTGTGAAAGCAACACCTCATCATTCCAATGTTTCAACACCCACTCTCCTCCTATACTTAATTTGAGTCCCAACTTGAGTCCGATGCAGGATGGTCACAGAACATCACCACTGGAAGTCAGAGTTCAAGAGGCAGTTGCTGCCATACCTGGTTAATTATTGTTTATTACATCTAGTCCATTCTCTTTTTATAGGCGACTTAAACATGATTATTGTTTGACTGCATAATTTTATTATTTATGTATTTTTTTATATCATCAATTTCCCATTTTCATTTACTTTTCTATTATTCTGTTAGATATTGGTCCTCAATTCGTTGGTTCGCCTATTTTGTATCCATGCATCATAAATGAACCTACCAACTCTATTGAGGTGAGTAAATTTTTAATAGTCATTCTAAAATAACATTATCTATGAAATTGTCTCCAGTGTTTTTGGTCCAGTCAAATCTCTTAACTGAGTCCGACCATTTAATTGGATGACTTCATTTTAAAATCTCTTTGCATCATAATTTAATTTCAATTAAGATTGAAGTCTTGATGTTTTAGCCAACTGGGCTTTGTGCATCATTCTTGTGGTTGCAATACCTCATGAATTCAGTTGAAAATGCACCTCAATTGTTTTAATTTTCAGTTCAATTTTTTCAAATCACCAGTTTTTCCAAAAATCTGATGTATATAATTTATATTCAAAACTCTTATCTTTTTCCAATATCATTGAAATGATCATCATGTTATTCCTCAACATTATTAAAATTCATACATCAGCTGGATGATACAATACCAAGCAAGAAACGCAAAGTGGCTGCAGAACTAGTTGGCATGTCGCCTGATGCTCAAATTGTTGTTCAGAGCCCAGGACTGAACAGGATGGAACAGGTGACGACTTCTGCTCCCAATCAGCTGAGAAGGAAGAAAGTGGATAGAATGCTGATGGAGCATAACAATGCTGCCAACAGTAACAATAGTGTTAACAATGTTAACAATACTAGAAGGTCTTTGAATGTTTTGCTAAAACCTGTAAATTGTTGTCTTTATTCTCCGTATGACCACTGCTTTAGTTTAAAATATCGTTATCATAAAATACGACATGGATTGTTATGCTACTTCTCTTTAGTCTAATGCAATTTTAATGTTGTGAATTTTTTATGAGTTTGTCTCCAATATTTTAATGGTCAGATAATTAATTATTTCTCAGTTACATATATATGTGAATCATTCTTCTTTCTTAAAATCAACATTGCTTTGTTGATTTTAAAAAAGCGTTTGATTCTGTCTGGCATGAAGGTTTGTGGGCAACATTAGAAAGTATGAGGACATCAGAAAAGCTGGTCAAAGTACTGAAAGGACTTTGTGAAGAATTAAAAATGTCGGTAATAATAGGTACAGAACTTGGGGATTGGATAAAGGCAGACATTGGAAGCAGACAGGGCGATCTAATATCACCAATACTATTCATAGCATTGCTAGAAAGAGCAATGGAAAATTCGGAATTGGGTGGAATTGACATATGAAGGAGAACTGTCAAAAATCTAAGGTTTGCTGACAATATAAGACCTTCTAGTTGCTAGTGAAGAAATTCTACAGAGACTAACTAACACATGTTGGTGGAAAAGATCACAGGTTGCATATCAACAAAGACAAAACGAAGGTGATGATTACGGGAAAAGGCAGAAACAATGCGGAATTTCAGATAGAATCAGAAAAAATCGAACAAGTAGACCGGTTTGTGTATCTTGGCAGTCTTATAACCTGTGACAACAACTGCACCAAAGAAATTGACAGAAGGATAGCAATAGCCCATGGAATGTTCGCATCATTGAAGGAAATATGGAAAAGTGGAAATATATCTATAAAAACAAAGTTGAGAATGATAGAATCTTGTTTTTTTCCGAGCTTGCTCTATGCATGTGAGACATGGACAATAAAGAAAAGAGACAAAGACAGATTGGAAGCATTTGAGATGAAGTGTTACCGAATCAGTTGGGAATCAGTTGGAGACAGAAAGTAAAGAATGAAACCATCAGAAATCAACTTGGAAGACAGAAAAGTGTATATGACAAAGTCAGAGAAAGAAAATTGGGATTTTTTGGACACATTTGTAGAATGAGAGAAGACAGATTGATTAAGATGGTACTAATGAGGAAAAGAGATTGGAAGAAAAAATTGGTAGACCTGCAAAGAAATTGATAGATGACATTACTGAATGGACTGGTGTTGGTATTCAGAATTCAATAAAACTGGCCAAAGATAGAAAAGGTTTTTGGAAAGAAAAAAGGAAAAAATAAAAAGTAAAAAGCATGTAAAAAGCATACACCATCGGCCTCGACGGTCCCTCGACGGACAAAGGAGGATCATTGATTGATTGATTGATTCATCTATAATACAGCTTGATCACCTCAAAGGTTACAAAAAGCTGTCTATGTCGTCAACACTAATACTAATACACAAATATTTTTGACTTAGCTGGTCCACAAAGTTATCGATGATCACTTATCAATGACTTTATATTATAGTCAATGTGTATGGTTTGTTTGGAAATGAAGTATTAGACATTTATTCATCGTAACTATTTCGCCACAAAGGATAAAAAATGTCTGTGCACCATCCAACTCAGTCAATGAAATAATTTTTGACCTTTATTCTTTTGAAGTTCTTTAAGATTCTTTTGTGTATAGGTATGTGTTTATGCGCGTGCGTTTGTGTGTTTGTGTGCAATTTGTTGAAAAGATGATGTAGAACTCTCAAAATCTTTTGTGATTTACCCGAAAAATAATCTAATTCTGATTTATTTAAATAAAATTGTGGATTGAAACGAAATGAGTTTACAATTATGTTGGTCTCTAACAGATTAGTTAAAATGATTTAGAGAAAGAAGCTGATGCATTTGTCATGTAGAATACTTCTAGGAGAGTGTGTGTAAAAATTTAATAGCAATTTGAAAATTAATGACAAATGTTTTTAATTTTGATAAGCAAATTTTTAATAAGCAGATTAAAATGATAAGAAGTGTTTGTAATTTTTTTTAATTTTTGCATTAAAACTTACCTGAAGCCCTGTTTTGAGAAGCAGACATCACAGGACTGCCAACAACAAAACCAACCCAACTCCAACTTCAATGAACATAACAACTCGCAGTAATTCTATGCAACAACAACAGCAACATCATCAAACCAATTCAAGAAGACTGCCTTGTTTGTCGCCCCCTGCTAATGTACCGCAGCTTGCCAGCCACCATCACCACCACAATACCACATCATCATCCTCGTCAGCAGCATCAAGAAGATCAGCACATAACCATTACATAGCACCTGAAAGAGGATATGTATATATCAATTCTGTTAACCAGCAGGTGTTTAATTGTTTTGACAGTATCTTGCTTTAAGTCTTTTTTATTTTAATAAGGGAATTCTTACTAATCTTAATATAAAGAGTCATGAAATCATTTTGCTTTTGTTCACTTCAAAGTTTAATTGAGCAATACAAGAACGGGGTTGAAATTTGAGCAAAATCTCTTCATTTGCTCATTTTTTGTTTGCCCTGATTGCTGCTGCTTGCATATTCTAATAACTAATTGGTGAACACATAAAAAGATAATAGCATCACAATAATAATATCATATAGGTGCAAGATTTCCTAGTGAGTCAACAGGACCCACAACAACAACATTTGATGGATCCCAACAGAAACAACACATATCTTCACAATGCCAACAACAACCAACAACACGTCCAACCTCCACCATTTATAGCTTCCAACATCATAAACCCACCACCGACTGCTTACCTACCTCCTTACACATTGAGACTGGCCCCTTATGAACTGCCCATCAATCATGTAGAAGTTCTTCCTTCCCCCAACTTCTACCCACACCCTCTGTCATCACCCACTGGCCATCAGTATGACAATTACCAACACAGAGCCACAAGACAGTACACCAGGCAGACCATGCTAAGAAATATGGAGGCTCCTATCAATAATAATATTTTGCTTGTGGGTTTTTAAGGGCTTTTAATATGATTATTTTTTATAAATTTTTCTTCCCTTCCAAAGTTGGTTATCAAATATAAATGTGTTTGTTTACATTATGTTAATTAGGATATGAGTTCATGTGGTTTATATTTTTGTAATTAGGATATGAGTTCATATGGTTTCTATTTCTGTTGTTGAATTAAATCATTATTTTCCTCAGCTTACGCTTGGCAATCTTAATGCTTTCTTCAGTATTTTTTATTTGTAATGGCACCTTATGAGCTGCTTGCTCATCCGTCATGCTGAAGTTCCTCTTTCTTTTAACATTTTGCCTTACACTCTTAATATTTTCATTTTCCAATTATACACCCCTAATGTTCAAATCTGTAAACCATGTTTCATGTGCACATATTTTTTACAATTAAAATGGGTTGAAGATGGAAGACATGAGTGAAGTTATATCATTAAATTGTCTGTTGTACATTTTGTATTGTTTTGGTGGCTGTGGTTGCAATTTAATGCAAATCTTTCACAGGGAACTTATTTATTTTATAATAGCAAATAGTTTGCAACATTTCTGTATTGCAATAAATGCTTTAGACGATAGCATTAATTTAGCAAATATTAATTTTTATATTAGATTTGAGAAATAAATTATACGTTTTTAGACATCTCATCTTCCAGTTGTGGACCCATTGGTCCCCACTTACATCAATTTTGTACCCTACTCGGACCCAAGCTACTACCAGCAGCCTCAACAACATGCAGCCAACAACAACAACAATAATGTTAGTAACAATGGTGCTACTGATAGAGCCCAACCCACAAGACTGCCTCTCAATGTCATTAATGAACCAATCAGAGCCTGGGATTATGTATGTACATCATTTTGTTTCGTCAGTCATTTTGTTATTTTATGTCATTTTATGTTCAATCGCATCCACGTTTTAAATGTCTAAATATAATTGTTTAAAACTTTCAAAGATTTTTTATCTTTATTTAATTTATGATGAAGAATATATCTATTTGTAGCAGTGATCTAATTTCAACATAAGTCATATAATTTCCTAATTTTGTTAATATTTCTCGATTCTCTTCTTTTTAAATTGATTTTCAATTTATTACTTTTTTGCATTTGTTTTTTTCTTATTCCTGCTTTCTATGTTGCTCTGATTTATAAATTTAAATGCAAAGCTATCAAATCTTAACATCTGCATTTTATTTTTGTTATAAACTTATATGAGTTTAGATATCTGGTTCAGCCGTATAAACTTATTAATGACAGAAAGCATGTATTGTGTATGTATGTATGTATACATTGTCAGTTATTATAATAATAATTGTATGTATGCACTCGCAAGCACCGCATCTATATGAATTGCTATGTATCTTGTTATTGATAATGATGATACTGAGGATAAAATTGTTCACAGGCAAGCCAGCACATGCCATCGTCTCCACCTCCATCATACAACATCATGTTACCACCAGCTGGTCGCTCGTACAGAAGGCATCCTGGTTATGCTAATGGATTCATACAACACTTCCTGTTAGTTTATCTTCTTATTTATCTTATAGTTGATTACTTGCAGTTGTTTAGCAATTTTTTGTCAGCTGGTCTATCAAAGTACGGGGTAATTATTATAAGTAAAAGAAGTTAAATAAATTTTTGTATTTTGAAAATAAATTTTTTTCTATAAAGTAATTATTCAGAACTGCAATGTAGTTATCTTCTTATTTAAGGACATTCTCTTTCTGAATTTAATTCTGATACTAATATTATTATAATAATAATATGAAGAAGAGTGTACGTACAACTGCATCTACATTGAGTGTATGTTTGTCGTCACTGTAGATAAAAATAAAATTCCTTCTGTTGTTAACCAATGTAATTAATGCTGGTGTCTTGACTATGTCCAATTAACCGTTGGGTTTACATTAAAATATTGGTTGCTGATGTCAACTTGCTGTGGTGGCAAGTTGGTATATCTCAGATTGATGATGGAATATCAGATTTGATTGGTCTCTTCAAAACCAATACTCTCTACTCAAATTTTATAATTTTTGATTTGTTTGTGGCTTGGTTAAAAATGACGAGGATCGTGTTATTGTTATTATTATTGTTTATGTTATTATTATAAATTTAGTATCTAGTCTTTACATAGATGTAGCTATAGCTAACTAGACAACTATAGTAAGAGTTTCATGAAGATACTCTCAACCAGTTCATAATCTGTTAATTATCATCTTATCAATTTGCTTTCCTCACTCCAGTTATCTAATTTTAGAAATTGTTTAATTATTCATTCATTAATGTCTAATTAACTATAATTTTTTAATTAAAAGTGCGCTTTAGTTTTTATTCTATTTTGGTTCAATGAATGAGCTAGCTATTAATGTAGTGTGATTACAGTGTGTATTATGTATGTACGTATGTATATATATATATATATTAGATAATATATATATATATGCATATGTATGTATGCATGCATTTATATATATATGTATGTATCTATGTGTGTATGTATGTATGTACAGTACATGGTATGTTATGCACAGTTTGCACCTGTTTGATTCAATTATGGTTGTATATTATATTTGTTTATTGCTGGAGAGATATGGGTTTCAAATAGGACGCTGGTGATGTTTTTCTTGGTGATGATGAGTTGGTGATGCCTGTAGCTTAAATGAACAAGGTTTATTGAAATCAAATTTATATGCATTGAATCAAAATTTGCATATATAAGGTGATTTTTTTTAATTGCTCATTTTATCTTAATTAATAAATTTTTGATCATAGATAATTTATAAATTTGCCTATTCTTCGTTAAATTTTAATTTTCTTACTAATAATAAATGAAAAATGCGAGATAATTTTAATGTCGTGAGGAGGTTCGGGAGTTTTGGAAACGCAAAAGTTGAACAGAGTTTTAGATAGTACTGAACCTTGAGGCACTCCTGATCGGATGATACGCTGTTTGGAATGTTGATGTCGGAACTCTGTTATGGCGGTGCGTCCATGCAGATAGTTTGACAGTCATCGGACAGTTGACCGTGAAAGCGATGATGGTAGAAGGTCGGACAACAGTGTTTGATGACCGTGTCAAATGCCTTTGTAAGGTCCAGCACTGAGGACTGTGCGATGGGCTGGTCTCTTATGGTTGAGGCCGTCGGCAATGTCGGTGACTATCAGGGTGATCCTGAGGTTGTTGAGTGATAAGAGCGAAAACCATTTGGTGGTTCGCAAGTGTTAGGTGTTTGACTATGAGCGGCAGCAGGCATTTTTCAAGTATCTTTAAGGCCGGGCATAGTAATGATATAGGTCGGTATGATTTTGCTTCACTGTCTGGTTTACCGGGTTTGAGGAGAGGAATTATTTTGGCTTTTTTGTATATGTCTGGAATTCTGCAGGTTTGCAGAGATTCATTAAATAGTTTGGTTGGGAAGGAAATTCCTGTATGGCCTAAATTTTTAAGGTGAACGATTGTCAGGTTGTCTGGTCCTGAGGCTTTGAACGGTTTAGAGTGCTTTATTGCTGCTGAAACCTGATCTGGTGTAAGAGTCGGATGATCATCAAGTGTTAATTTCTTGATTGTTCTGTTAGTGATTCTATTCTATTTGTTAGATGTATGACGATTAGTTGCGGTACACTGTTTGTTGAATAAGTTGGCCATCTGCAGGTTGTTGTTGAAACTGTTGGGATATTGTATTTGTTGGCCATTAAGAGTTTTCATGGTTCTCTAAAGGCGTTTGCTGTTAATATTTCTATTGAGACTGCCCAGGAAATCTTTCCAGTGAGTTTGTTTTAGTTTGTTAATCTGTTGTTGGATATCTGATGACATGATGGCGATGTCTTTGGATGAGGAGTCGGATTATCTGAGAGCATCCCGTTGCTTCATGAGCTCCCTGATTTCTCTCGGAAGACCTGGTGACGATGATAGTCGTCTTGTATCTACTGGCAGCCCACTAAACTTAACGGAATAATTTTTCAACTGCTGACGGGTTGCGTAGGAAAATGGTTATGGAGAAAGCGGCTTCGGTTTCAGTGATGAAGCCGATCCAGTTAGCTTTGGCAAAATGTATTATTTTTATTTTAGGAGTTTTGGTAGGAGAAAATTTTGTTTGTAATGTGATGTGGATTGGTAGGTGATCTGATGAGAGAGCTGTCACTGTTGACCAATCTATACCTGCGATTAAAGAATCTGATGCGACGGAGATATCAGGTGACGATGGTTGACGGGTTGTAGGCAGACGGGTTGGAAAATCTCTGTTGAGCGTGCCGCAGCCTGAGTTTTCGATTTTCCAGGCTAGGTCTTCTCGTGAATTATCCAGGCTGAGTGCCAGAGCGTATCGTGGGATGTCTAGAAATGTTGATATGGAGGCTGTTAAACAATCAATCAATCAATCTTCGTTTTGCGTCCAGAGACCCGGTTCCCCGAGGTAGGACGTTGTTTTCTTTGCCATCAACTTTTTGCGCCAAATTAGACGATCAGTTGTATCCATTTCATTTAAATTTAGAGCTTTCATGTCTTACTCGATTGTTTGCGACCAGGACTTCTTTGGACGGCCTTTGGGACGTGCGCCAGGTACTTCAACATCTGCAAGAGAAGTTATGGCACTGTTTCCACTTCGTTTGACATGACCAAACCACGGCAGACGGTGTTGCTGGCATTCGTCCTTTATATCATCTAAACCAGCACGACGCAGGATTTCGGTAGATTTGATGTGGTCCTTCAGACTAATTCGTTGCATCCATCGGAGCATTTTCATGTCGGTTCGTTGAAGTTGTTGTTCCAGTTTGGTTGTCATTGGCCATGTTTCTGCACCATATAACGACACCGGACGTGTCACAGATTTATAAAGTCTTGATCGTATTGGTAGTTGGATGTCACGCCGCATCAATATAGAGGCAAGGAGATGCCATTTATTCCAGGTTGCCACGTATGCGTGCTGAAACGGCAGCTTCAGCTGTTCCAGTACAATCCAGAACATCTCCTAGATATTAAAACAATGTGACTTTCTCTACCTTAATGGCTTCAAAAACATTACTATTTTGAATTTGTTGCTGTGGATTGATGCAAACAGGACAAACAAAATTGGACACTTTAGATAAATTACCAATTATTTTTGAGCAACGTTTGTGGCACCACTGATTACACTGCTGACACTTGATTGAATTGTTATTTACACCAGCTTTACAAACTGAACATCGTCCAGTAGCTGTGGATTGGATGGGTTCACCAGTGTTCTTTGCTATGGTTTTGCTGATGTTGACTTTGAATCCATGATCGACGAGTCTGGTGTTCCAATCTTCAAACATCTGTGCTGCATTCTGCTCAGACGTGTCTGTTAAAACGATATCATCAGCATATATTAGATTCCAAATGTCACCAGTGCGTATCGGTTTTGTGATTTCTTCCATCACAGTTATAAATAACAGTGGACTAAGAATCGAGCCTCGTTGAACTCTAACGCCGATGTCAAATGCATCTGTCTGTCCAACCGTTGTGCTGACGAGAGTCTTAGTATTCCTATACATTTCCATCACAAGTCGAACAAGATATTCTGGAATGAGTTGTCGACGTAGACTCCACCTGATTGCTTCACGGGGAACTCGATCAAATGCTTTTTCAAGGTCTACAAAAATGTGTGATAGTTGTTGATGCTTTAGGTACTTCTCTTGCAGTTCCCGAAGGATGTGAATTGCATCGATTGTTGATTTTCCCGCTAGGAAACCAAATTGATAATTTCCGATTGTGATGCACGACGTTAATCTTCTCTCAATGATTTTCTCGACAATTTTCAGGGAGTGTTCTAGCGGACGTATACCCCAATATGATTAACAGTTCAATGGATCACCTTTGCCTTTGTATAGCGGGACTGTCATGCTATAGTTCCATTTAGTCGGCATTGAGCAATTTCTCCAGATTTCACGGCAAAGTTGTAGTAACGTTTGGATACCTGCAGTACCAGTTGCTTTGATAATGTCATTTGTGAGTCCAGAGGGCCCTGCTGCCTTTCCATCCTTCATAGCTTTCAGAGCTTCTGTAAGCTCCTCTACAGTGATGTCTGGAATCGGACCTTCGATGGGTGGAGCGTCAAAGTTAACATTGATGGGATTTGTTTCGTTTAACAGACGGTTGAAGTATTCTCTCCACTGTAGCTTGATCTCATCTTGTTCAAGAACCATCTCATTTTTGTCATTTTTGATACATGAGGCACCAACTATGTCTTTTTTCGTACGCTTTGTTTATTTTGCTATACGATACAAAGATTTCATTTGTTCACCTTTGCTTTTAGTGAGCCACTCTCTGCACTGATCTGTCCGAGCCAGTGCAACTTGACGTCTTGTATAGTTGTTCTTCTCACAGAAAATTTTATGGTCATCAACAAACTTTGATTTTTGCCATTGCTTGAATGCAACTTTCTTTTCAGCTATTGCATTTTGTACACTGTCATTCCACCACCAAGTGTCCCGTTTATGCTGACGTTTTGTACCAGTTTTCCCACAAACTGTAGTTGCAGCGTTTATCAAAACGGTTTTTGATGTACTCCAATCTGTACTGGCTTGCGATTGGTGGTCTAACTGTGTGGCGACAATCTGTTGATATTTTTCTGGATGAATATTGTTTTTCAGCTTCCACGTTTTGTTTCTCCGAGGCATTTGTTTAGACTTATGTTTTGACAGTTCGACAACCAGGTCTGCCACAAGTAGTCTATGTTGGGCGACACATGATTTGCCAGGTATAACTTTGGCGTTTTTGAATAGCCTTCGGTGTTGTTGCTTGACAGCGAAGAAATCAAATTGCGTGGCTGATGGTCCACTTTTGTATGTTATGAGATGTTCTAACCTCTTTCTAAAATATGTGTTCAGTAAACAAAACCCGTGACTTTCAGCAAACTCAAGGATGCGGTTGCCATCTTCATTATGTTCTCCATAGACAAAACCGCCATGTACGTTTTCAAAACCATCTGTTTTCTCTAACGTGGCCTCCAATCAGGATTGTTTCAGATTTTGGTATTGTTGAGATGGTGTCAGAGAATGCAGAAGTCATTTTTCATCTCTTCTGATTCGCCTATCTGTTATGCGTTTGCAGAAAAAATAATCATTGTTTGCTTTTCTATGCGAAGCTTGATCCACATGAGACGTAAATTAATCCTTTAAATATCCAGTACTGCTTGGGCTAGCGGTTCTCTGACAAAAATTCCAACACCATTTTTGGCCGTCTTTTGACCATTCCAGAATAGTTTATATTTTTCTTTGTCTGAGTTGACATGACAGACACCATTCAATTTCCATCGGGTTTCCTGAAGGCAGCAGATGTCAATCCTTCTACGCTCGAGCATTTCTGCGATTTCCATGCTGCGGCCAGTCAGTGATCCAACATTGAGCGCTCCAAATCTAAGTACCATAGAGGGGCCATTTTGAATTTTTCTGCAACATCCCTCCGCTATTGCATACTTCCCAGGGATTCTTAGCACTCCTTGACCACTTAAGGCCTGCTGGGGACAAGGGACCGTTGTTTTTCTTTGTGATGGCATAAGAGTAATTTGGGGAAATGTTTTTACATCCGGACACCCATCCTGACGACAACCACCAGTTATAAGCGGTGGGCCTAGCCTTTTGCTCAAAAGCACGCAAGGCAGCGTGGATGCAGTTTTATGTCATGCCCAGGACCATATGGAGGCTGTTAAACCAGGAGGGCAAACTGATTGAGGAGGAATGTAGATGTTTAAGATGTTGGTATCTTCGCCGTTTATTTTAATCGTGATGGCTTGACTTTCTGTTGTTGCAAGGTTAGGTGTAGCTTTGATGGTTTAAGGAATGCTGTGGTGGATAAGTATGATTAAACCACCACCTCGTCCGTTCGTGCGGTCTTTTCGATACAGTGCGTAGTCCTTGAAAACTGGGTCTTTAGAGCTTTATGAAAGCTTTGATTTTTGTATGGCTGCGACGTGGATATTGCGTTCTGTTAGGTGTTGTGCGATTTCGTCGTGTTTGTTTTTTATGCCATTATAGTTCAATTGAAGGATGTTGGATTGTCCGGCATGTTGAGTGGGTTTGTTTTGTGAGTTCGAGCTTTTAAATGTTGTTGACGGCCGCTGTAGTGAAACATCTGGTACCTTAGAGCTACTCGTGTCTGTGGACTGATGTGGGCAGTTATCACAGTGGTAATAACCGTTTTTGTTGGTGATGCATTTGTCTAGATGGAACCAGTTGCAGCAGGTTCTGCAACGGGCCGAAAATTGGGTCTTGTTGATCTTCTTGTTGCAAGCGGGCTAATCCAAATTTTTGGGCCTGGATTTTACTCTAATCCGGCTCTTAAAAGGAGGAGGCGGGAATAGCAGCGGTTCATTGGAATTTCTGAAAGGTTTGACTTCAACAGTCGATCCAATCGGCTCCACCAAGAGAAAGCCGCTGCACCAGAGCTCATGTTAACACGTTTATGTTGATCTTTGGTGTATTGTTGTCTTTTTCCATTAAAGTTTTCTTTTTGAATAATATTGATAATATTACATTTATTTACATCTTTTATAGCTGTTTTATTGATGACTATTACATCATTAATTTTCTCTTCTACAAAATTTTCTTGTTTCGGTTGGTTTTTTTAAGGTTATTGTGAAACATTGAGCTTAAAATTTCAATTGTATCTTTTTTGTTTATTTATCTTTTTTATTTCTGGATTTTCAACTTTCTCTTCAATTTTTTTGGATTGAATTTGATGTTATACCTAAATCCTCATTGATAAAAATTGGAGTCATTTCAGGAAAATTATTCAAATTTTTACTTCTTCATGTTTCATAAGTACTTTGAGTTATATTCTCTTCTTTTACCGCTTTTGCTGATCGGCATGCCCAAATTACTTGTTTATAGTTTTCTGTTGTCTATTATTGTCTTTTTCTCTTTATGACATCTGAAGATGTAATCTTTATTTTCACTTCTTCTGAATTAGTTTCAAAAATTTCAAGATTTTGAAAATGTGCATTAGTTTTGAAAATATTTCCCACTCTTTCATCAATATTGATTACTTTCATTCTTTCATTAATATTTATTATAAATCCTGAATGCTTAAAAAAGGTATTATATTAGTAGCCAAAAGTTATCATTAATTTAGTTTAGACAAAAATAAACAACATTTAATAAAACGTTTGTCTTCCGATTCATCAGGATATAATTTGTGACAACAATGATAATTATGAGTCAGTTTTATTAAATGAAATGGTATTTCAAAAAAATGAAAGGGTAAAATGTTGAAAATAATAATATAATGTTGGTTGAGTGCCATTTTTGACGTATTTTGATTATTCTGCCTGGTGATATCAGATTATTTATTGAAAAATAGTAAACTTATTTTCATGCATATTTACAAGTTGTGAAATAACTCTATTTTAAAAAAATATAAACAAAATTGACACTTGAAAAAAAATGTTGCCTGTTTTTGAACTTTGTGATCTTTAAAGAAGAAAAATACCATTTTTGTTTTATGACATGTTGCTCAACTATGAAAGCATTATACAAAACGACTTGATTGGTTGATTGATTGATTGATTGATTGATTGATTGATTGATTGATTGATTGATTGATTGATTGATTGATTGATTGATAGTTTGGTTTATCGGTTGAACATTAGGTCCCTCCTGGGAACGACTCATCCAACATCAACGAGGAGTACTGTGCCTGGCTCTGAAGTTGAAAACTATGAGGTCAGTCTTTCATGTAATTTACCTTGTGTACAAAAATAATTCATGTTTTTTATGTTGAAATTTTTATTATTTTTTTTTTCATTGAAATATTGCACACTTTATGACAATGTAACAAATAATTTTTGGATGGACTTTGTGAGATGTTATCTAAAAATTATGTTTCTTGTATTGTGTGCTATGTGAAGTAATAATTTGAGGCTTTAACATCTTTAGTTTTGTACTCAGTTAATGAAATATTTTTAAATTAAATCAACCAATTTATCCTTTTCAATCTTTTGATGTGTCCAGTCCACTTTATTTTTGTCCATTCCAAAATCATTTTGTTATTTTATTCCATCCCACCTATTTCCTAACTCTTTTTCCAGGTTTCTCAGTCTTGTTTCTTTTTCTGTATAGTTCAGTTTAATTAGTCTAGCATTCAGTAGATGTACCTTGTCTTGCGTTGCTATTACTTGATGGCATGGTTGAAACACTGTCCGTCCGATTCTCAAAGACCATCATACCTGTATGATTGCAGTGCTTGCATGTGGTGTGAATACTACAGTCTTTGCGGCACATTTGTTTAAGCATAGGTATAGAATAATAACTTGCAAGCAGCTCTGCATAAGCAGCTCTGCGTTTGACAGAGCTGAATTTAAAAAAAGTGACTTACTGAAGTATTTAATTTCCTGTTAGTGAAAATCTGTTTTTTATCATATAGTAGAAAAAAGAGGTTATTTCAATTTTGGGGGTGAGATGATATATATATATTATTATTTTTATTATTATTATTATTAAAGAATTTAAACAAATTAAATACATTTAAATAATTAAAAGTTTTGAATATTTTAAATTAAGAAACCCAAATGAAAAAATTAAAATAAACATCATTAATATGGTTTCTACAGGCTTTGTTGAATCTTGCCGAAAGATTAAGTGGAAGTGGCAAGCCTCGGGGACTGACGAAGAGTGAATTTGAAAAGCTGACAGTGTACAGGTTTTCAACATCATCATCTTCACCGGCGTCGGACATGCAGACATCGTGTGTCGTCTGTATGTGTGACTTTGAAGATCAACAGATGCTTAGAGTTCTACCATGCACTCACCAGTTCCATGCAAAATGTGTCGATAAGTGGCTCAAGGTTTTTCCTTTTGTTTATTTTTTTTATTGTATTTATTTGGTTTAGATGTTGATGTGTTCACTATGGAATAGTGGTCGATGCGGTTATCGTGAGTTGCACAGCATTTCTATTTCGATTTTTTAAACAATTTTTTGCGGGGTAACTTTTTTAAAAAATTTTTCACCAAAAATTGAATTTCTTTTTTAAAGCAAAAAGATGGTTAGTTAAATAACGTTTAAAAGAAATTGTCTGTCACTTTTTGATCGAACCAAAAACTTTGTTGCTACAGTGGCATAACACTTTGGTAGTCTGTGATTTCCACATTTAAAAAATGTTGTTGTTGGTTGGATGGAAATTTGGATAAGTATTTATAGGGGGTGCATGAGCTAAAATTCGTTACTTATTTATGTTATTTAAAGTTAAACTGTATCACACACCCGAGCACTCACTTACACATATGCAGGCTAATCAGACTTGTCCCATATGTAGAGCAAGTGCCTTGGAACAAACGAAGCAAGACAGCGAGTGATCAGTGTTCAACACAGCAACACCATCCCTCTCCCTCTCTCTCTTTCTCTCTATCTCTGTCTGTCTGTCTGTCTACATCCGCCATCTTGTCATCGTTGCTTTCTCGACGTCATCATCAGGATTATTATTATTATTATTATTATTATTATTATTATTATTATTATTATTGGCTTGTCACAATTTATTCTTATATTAATTTTTGTAACTGAAATTATTGTTATATAATTATTTTTATTAATTGATATTTTTGTTGGAAATTGATATTATTTCATTGTTATCACCATCATATGGTATTGTTGTTGTTTTCATTGTTATTATTATTATTGTTGTTGTTGTTGTTATTATTATTATGAGTTCGGTTTGTGTTAGCAATGTTACATTTTCAGAGGTGAATCGCTACGAAAATATATTTCATTTCTTCGTAGCTAATTAACGTTAACTGTGTGCTTATCATCATCATCATCATCATTTTTCATCATATCATGTAACTTTTTCAATCCTCGCAACAATTGTATAATAATAATGATGATGATGATGATGTGATGGTGGTGGTGGTGATGATGATGAACACGATAGGCGGTGAGATGCACTCTTCGTCGTCATCTTCTTCAAAAGTCTGCAAGCTTGTGCTGATGATGACGAGGGATGGTCCAACCAACATTAACATTTCCTTCATTATTTGTAAATATTTGTAATCCAATCGACGAGAGTGTGAGGGTCGGTCGGTCCTTTGTTGTGTATGGGCCTGTCACCTGTTGACATTATTATTCACATTATTATTGTTAATACTGTTGTTGTTGTTATTATTGTTTTTGTTACATTTTATTTGTTATTATTACCATTGCATATAATCTACTACATTAATTATATAATTGTAAGTATCTTACTTTGCGTGAGTGCGTGCATATATGTGTGTGTGCGTGTGTATATATTGCAAATTTTTTTGTTATTGTCAACCTACAGTCGCATGTTTGTTTGTTTACATTGGATTTCCATTTGTTTTTTTGTCATATTTTCACATGTTTGTTTTGCTTTTTTTGTATATTATTATTATGATTATTAAGTAATTATTATTTTAATTGTAAATTTTTTTCTTGTTTGTCAGTTAATAATTAGTAATGAGTCTTTTTTGTTCCAGTTAATAACTAAAATTAATACCACGATTTTTCGCTCATTTGTTCCTTCATTCATTCAGTTGATCATCTCATACATTAACTTTATTGTGTGTGTGTGATGTGTATGCGTGCGTGTGTGTGTGTATGTGTGTGTGTGTGAATGCTTGCTCGCGATCCCCGTGGTGCACATCTTCATTTTTTATCAATTAATAATCAGCTTTTCACCCAGGTTTTGCCACTTTCCTATTAGCTTGGTGACACATTTTCATGTCATGTATGAGGTTGAGGACTGAGGAGAGGATGCGTGCATGAATGTATGTGTGATATATACATTAGTGTAGTGTTGTTACTTTTAAATGTATTACTTTAGTTTAACGAATGTTATTACAAAAAACATTCATACATACGTTTATATGTAAAATCTTTAAACAATCGTTTTATAACAAATTTGTAATTCAAGTTTAGCTGAACGTTAGTTTATTTTATTGCAATCACAGCTTACAAATTTATAAAACTTTTGAAGTCATTATTCGGAGTTAAAATTCAAGTTACTTTTTTGTAGCTTTTTTGTTTTTTGCGTACATTGGATTGCACTTGTGCATTCGCATTACACAACGGGATATTATTTTGTTATTAAATCAGTAACATTAATCCATTGTTTAGTTATGCTTCTCACGGCGTTGGTTACACGGTTTGATTTGTGTCTGTGATGAACAGCTCAATTAATGTAATGATTTTATAGAATTGTGGCAACTGATTATACGAATGTTTTGAAAAGATGGGGCACAACAATTTTTTTCATCTGCTGTTCATATAAAATCTACTTGGTATGATTTAAATTCTTTTTTGTACGTGTTTTTCAAATTTGGCAAACTAACCGATTTTTCAGTTTTATTTATTATTGCATAGTTCTGTTGTTTACTTAAAGAGTGAAGGAGAGTATAGGCTTGCCTGTATGTACCTGTTGAATTAACACCAAAGTTACTATCAAGTGGTTTCTAAATGGAAATGTTCGATGGTTTGCTTTTTTACAAGCCAACTGTCAAATATTATTAAGAAGGGTTTCCATATGAAAAAAAAACCTTCAATTATAAGAAATTTGCATTACTTATAGATAGCTTTAGTTTATTTCAAAATTTAAATTATCAGTTGAAATGGGTATATATATTTTTTAAATTAACTACTTGGATTTTTATGGTTGGTGGTCTGTGCAAGTGGGATGTACGCTTAGTGAATATGCATAACCTTCATCATAGGCACAGTTTATTTATTTTTATTATTTTTTTGTTATTCAACCACTTGCTTTATTTTATTTAGTTCACATAATCAACTGTTATCTTTTATTTATTGCTTTTTACGATTCTAGGATCAAATTATGTTTTGTATTAATAATCATATCTTGTTTTAGTTATTTTGCGTGTTTGTTCTTTGTACATGTGTAAATGTTGTGTTATTTTTATTTTTCTGTGTATTCTTTAAAATTATTTTACGTGTTTATGTGTTGTTTTTGTGTTGTTCATGTGCAAATAAATGTCTACTTTTGAACATTGCAATTTGTTCACTTTTTTATTAATGCATTCAAACAATTCTAACTTTTCAATTTATTAATGTAAATTAATTCGTTTGTAATTTAATAATAACAATGACAAATTTTTTTCATTTTATATTTTTAATTGGTGTTTGTGAACAACATTACATACGCATATATATATATATATATATATATATTATACAATACATACTATATGTATATACAATACATACTATATGTATATATAATTCCTCCTATGCTATCATTTAATGCAATGCGCTGCAATGCAAATGCGAATTATTTGTTCCTTTACATTTTTAAATGAAGCAATAAAGATTAGGTTGAACTTTAATAACAAATTCGTCTGTTCATCCATTTGTTCATTCTTTTATTCACCATTATGATTTCTTGTTTTTGACGAAATGTTTCAAAAACAGCGCTTCTTGTATACATCATGTCCTGCCTGAGATATAATTGAGCTCTTTATAAATTTTTGATATTGTCCAAAGAAGACGATCGCGAGTCTATTGCGGAATTTTATAGAATCTTCATGATTCCTTCTACGTAGGTAATCTCTTTGCCTACTTGTTTGCCGATGAAGAACTAAATGTGCATGTGACGTTAGATACTGTATAATGTCAGCGATGTGGAAGATGACGCTTGATTTTGTTTATTTCGAACTAAAGTAATTTAATTGTAGTTTTTCTTAGGAAATTTGGTTACTGTGTGCTAAAACATTTTTGTGCAAGCGAAATGAAATAGTGCACAGTTATACATTTTGTCGAACCACGTTAACTTTAGTCGTATTAGATTATGGTGATCGGATAAAAATAAACTGAATCTGAGCAATGCCAAGGAAAAAATTACCATATGTTATCTTTATCTGTAGAGATGAAGAAATAGTTTATTATTTGATCTAATCTAGAAGCAGAAAACTTAAATGCCACTGGAAAGTCCAGGTGTATGAAGAAGGCAGAAACATTTTCGGGAAGAACAGCATAAAACAACCTACTCGGAATCGTGTTGTGTAGCGAAGTAAATCCTTAAACATGACGTGGTGAATATACTTAAGAAAAAGTCTTTAAAAATTTTAATTAAGATTGAGTGGTGGTGTCAAGAAATTATAAAAATATCAAGAGTCATTATTAACATCATTAAAAAAACAAAAACGACAAGGTCAACGTGTTTTTAGAATTTGAAGATAAAATGAACGTTATGACACTTGCGACACTATAGTGAGCTTTGATAACGATGAGAATTTTCTCAATTATTTTATTGAACATAACGTATTTATTATATTGATGTAACAAAAGCTTACTCAATATTTTGTCTTGTTTTAGTTAAAAGCAGGTCAGCGAGATGTCAAACTTTACAAACTCCCTAGCTGCTGATTTGCCTTGTGCTTAGTCAAGTAACTAGACTGCTAATTTTTAACTTGGATTTTTGGTGTGTAAATAACCAATTAGGCAAGCCCGTTATTTATTGGAAGTGTTGATTGAAATTGAGAACTGAATTTTTGTAGTTTAGATAAATTAAAACGTTGAGTTTACGGTAAAAAACCTCAATCCCCCTTCATTTTATATACTTGCCTCTCCGTCATGTTACCATGTGATGTTCTATATTTTACAATTTTTATCTACCTCCTCCAGCTGAAATTCTCAAGTTGTATTTTGCGTGCGTGTCCTATTCGTCAAACTTTACAAACTCCCTAGCTGCTGATTTGCCTTGTGCTTAGTCAAGTAACTAGACTGCTAATTTTTAACTTGGATTTTTGGTGTGTAAATAACCAATTAGGCAAGCCCGTTATTTATTGGAAGTGTTGATTGAAATTGAGAACTGAATTTTTGTAGTTTAGATAAATTAAAACGTTGAGTTTACGGTAAAAAACCTCAATCCCCCTTCATTTTATATACTTGCCTCTCCGTCATGTTACCATGTGATGTTCTATATTTTACAATTTTTATCTACCTCCTCCAGCTGAAATTCTCAAGTTGTATTTTGCGTGCGTGTCCTATTCGTCAAACTTTACAAACTCCCTAGCTGCTGATTTGCCTTGTGCTTAGTCAAGTAACTAGACTGCTAATTTTTAACTTGGATTTTTGGTGTGTAAATAACCAATTAGGCAAGCCCGTTATTTATTGGAAGTGTTGATTGAAATTGAGAACTGAATTTCTAGAAGCAGAAAACTTAATCCCCCTCAATCCCCCTTCATTTTATATACTTGCCTCTCCGTCGTGTTACCATGTGATGTTCTATATTTTACAATTTTTATCTACCTCCTCCAGCTGAAATTCTCAAGTTGTATTTTGCGTGCGTGTCCTATTCGATAAGTGTTTAAACATTTAGATTTATTGCTAAGAAAACGTTTAATTGAACGAATTAATTAAATTAATGAATAAATTGATTAATAAATAAAATTAAATAATAAATGTAAACAATAAATTTTAACGACAAATGAATTTTAATGGAACAAAGGTTTTTGTTAATTTTTAGTGTTATTCTTCCCTTCATTCATCGAACACAAATGTACAGCACTTAGGATTGGCATGTCTCAGCATTCCAAAAAATACAAAATAATTTATTAAATCATTCCACCTTTGCTTAAAACAGAGAAGAAACCAAAAATTTTATTCAAACTTTTGAAGGCTTTCAGCAGTTTTTTAAATTTGCAACCAGAACTCGCCATTCTAAAATCGCAGAACATAATAAAAAATGTTTGGCTCCAAAAACCACACTTGAGTAGATAGATGACTATAAATGACCTAAACTATAAATACTATTTATTGCATTATACTGTAACTTTAAAAACATTTTTTCGTATTTTAAAAAAGTCAGTTTTGGTGGCATAAAAATAAGTAATAAAAACAAAAGAAAAACGTTCAAGAGCGGAATAATTATGTTACGTTCGAAAAACACAAAATAAACAAAATGAGAACGCAGCTTTCAAAATGAACACGATTAATCCACAAAACCAGTCAACAATAAAAGCAGCTTGATTACAAAAATTCGTCCATTTTGACAACTCGACTCAAATAATATTTTTCTGAAATTTTTACTAGTCGGTAATTGTGTGTACAAATTGTATACTTGTTAAAGAGCTGTTGTACATTAGGGCTCTGGTGTTAGTGTTCGTGGTAGGAAGGTGATTTTTGAGACTCAACGTCAACGGGATAGACATTATTTTCATGAGTTGATATTTCTCTATTGTTTGATAAATTATCGTCAGCTTTCAAAACTTTTTCAAATCCACAAAGATTTTGTTGTTGAAGTTGTTGCTGCAGTTGTTGAAGTTGCTGTTGATATTGTTGCTGCTGCTGTTGGGAATTAACGCCATCATCAGTGTAATCTCGCTTCGAGTGTAGATGCATCAGTGCTTTATCGTAAGCACTCTGCATCAACCTTCTGCTGCTCATCTTCTTACAACTCAACAACTTGGACTTGTCGATGCATGCATCCACGCCTAAGGGCAGGAGTTTCTTCACGGAGAGACACTTCCTAAAAATGTTTGCAGATATTAAAAGAACAAGAAAAATCGTCAAATTTGTGATGAATTTCAAGCTAAATTAACATTGAAAAATCAATTTGTAGGAAGGCGTAATTAATCGATTGCACATTTCAACTGTTCTAATAACGAAAGATCGCTAAATATTTTTTTATAATATTATCACTCATTTTCAACAAAATTCAAAATGGACCATCAAAGCAGAGTGACCACAGGCATAAACAGCTTCATCTACGTTTAGGAGACTATCTGCTGAAACTCATTACAATTTGTTGATATGCATTTGGGTTGTCATTAAGAAGTGAGTACTTTCTGTTTATTAAAATTTCTGATTGGTTTGTGCTGGGTTTTAACCTAATTCTAAATTAAATTAATTTTTCAACATTTCAATGTTACGAATGGTGTGAACTGAACTTTGGTTAAAAATTTCAACTTATTTTACCAATTTTACCATTATTACATTATATTGTTTATTGGCAAAGAAATGCCGCAAAGAAACAAACCATGATGACTTGGCATCAAAAAAGACAACACATTTCAATAGGTGATTGTTGCTTATGATATCAACGGTCTCCTGTGGAATGGTCGGCATGTTTATGCAGAGGTTCGGAGGAGGTGTTACAGGTGCTGAAGGAATTATCTGATGGTAATTTATAATAATATTAAAACTTCAATAAAACTCGATGAATCACGTCTTTTAAAAAAGTAAACTAACTCATGAGCTATAATGCATTCCAAAAATACAATTTTATGCATTCCACAAACATAGACATACAAAATCTACGCAAAGCATAAAATAAATATCTCATAAACAACTGACTACATCAGGAAATCATTAGCAACAAACTAGTCAGTCCACAGCAAACTGAACTCACCATTGCCGGCTGCCACGGATGTTTGTGGCACTTGGCCCAAACGACATCGTACGCTTTGTAATCCATGCAACTATCTGACAATTGCAAATGTAAGAAAAATACGTAGAAAAAAAATTTAACGACTGAACTCAAAAGCAACGATTAAATAGTGATTTATGTTGTCTTGACTCCAAATAACATTCACACGTTCGTGAAGAAAATTCAATTATCAGAGTTTAATAATACACAAAACACCACAGCACTTTTCCATTTTTAATGCTATAACATTTAATGGTTAAGTGAGATTATAATGGTCAAAGAGCGGCACTGTTCTTAACAGTTGTACTGCAAGCACGTGTTGAAGGTCGTCAATATTTAGCATCAATATTGTTCTTCTATTACCAAAAACCCAGTCTTCAATGTCATGCAGCACTCATGAGACAATTTGAAGGACAAAAGCAACAAATTGTAAGTGGGGACAATGACACAGTGGACTGATTCGATCGAAGTTTCAAGTGACTGTAGTTGACGTTTGGTTTGCAGTCGATAAATTAACGAACTCTTATAACCACGGTGAACAAACGATCTAACAGTTTGATCGCTACAATTTTTTTTAGAATTTGAAATGTTTCCATTAGCCAATAATTTAAATATGGAATGTTAATGTAACTTGTTAAATTGTTAAATTCGGAATAGATTTATAAGTTGAAGATATTTCATTGATAATTAAAACAATATTCTTCGTTAACTAAAATGAACTATTAATCGAGCAGCCGATCAATCAATCAGTCATTCAATTAATCAATGGACAATTGGACATATTCTGTAGCCCAAGTTTCAACATGATAAAGGTAATTAAAATCACTTTACTTCCCAAATTTCCGTAAAATATCAGCATTTCTCAATTAAAATACTTTTTTCAAATTGTCTCGGCTTAGAACTCCAACTGATTTCTTTAAACTCATCCTAGATTTATCCCTCATTAGGATACGGTTGTTTTTTTTAGTATATTCAATTCTTCACAGCACTCGATTTTTATTTCTGTAAAGTGTACAGTTTTGCAAATGTTATTTCAATCCAGGTTCGCTGAGTCGGAAGTTTTTTAAATTATACATCTACGATCAGATAGAACTTCAACCGGCTTAAAATGAATGCCAAACATTGCTAATTAAATTGAACCGATTGAAAAAATAGACTTACAGTTAGCATCATCTTCTTCTTCGTCGTCGTCGTCTTCTTCATTACTTGCCTCATCATCTTCCATCATATCCTCAATGTTGTCTACCTCCGATGATGATAATGATCTTGTCTCTACCAGTTCACAGCCTTCAGCAAATTAATTACGTTTAAAATTGTATCAAAGTTGTTTAACAGTATAAAACAGTTTAAAACAATTCTTTCTGACATTAAACTCCTGAGTTTAATTACTAAATTATTATAACATTAATATTATGATTATATTGCATTTTAATATTATATTATATTATCGTATATTAAAATCATTAATAATATTAATTAAATTAACTAATCTTCCGACAAACTCCAACCATTTGTCATTTTCAATTTCTAAAAATATTTTACTCCCTGTTAAAAATTACTCGACAAAGATCTTCTAATAAAATTAAGAAATTCTCTGCAAAGAGAGACCACATTTTCTTAAAATTTATTGCTTTTGATTATAAACTCAAGCACTGCTGGCGATTTATTGAACAATATGATGGTATCTGGTTTAAAAAGTAATATTATCGTAAAAATATATTAAGTATCAAACTTTTTGAACAGTGTTTCTTCCTTTGTTGTTTTGAAATTTGATCTTTTTGTGTAGCAACTCTAAGTAAATTGGCACCTTCATTCTCGAGGTCGTCATCCGAAGTAACTGTCCTGTACTTCTGGAAACTTTCATTCATCACTGTGTGAACAAACGTGCATCACTTATTAATCGTTAATATGAGTGTCAATAACTAAAAGCTAAGCCCACCCCACGTTTCATGTTACTCCATTGTTTTCAATTTTAATAACAACATTGACAATTCCTATCGACAAATATTTTTTTACCGATTTCCCGTGTTTAATAACAGCACAACCAAGTTAAAAAATTGAAAACTTTTTAACAGTATATTATTAGAAAATATATGAAGGCTTTAAAACATTGTAAAAGTCAACTGTTTTTCAGCAAAGTTAAATAAGGATTGGTGTCTATATTTGTAACTGAATTCTGAATTTGTATAAAGGTTTTTAAGAAAGAATTCAAAATGCTTTCCTCGGTTCACATCACTGAGTTAATGATGAAATTGGTATTCACTGAGTTAATGATGAAATTGGCATTCATTGAGTTAATGATGAATTCTCTACACGACCGAGCAGGAGTGAACAGCAAACTTGCTTTGTCAATTTGAGAAGCTGGACCGACCAGATCCACGCTGGATAGTCGCTTCATCCCCAAATCTCCGATACTAACACTAGCTGTTTAGTCAAATAATATGATGTTTCACCTACCAAGCTATTTCTAACCGGCAGAGCTATTTGAAAAGTGACTGTTACAGCAGATGGCCGATGAAGTTCACTATGAATCCAGAATTTGCAAAATGCCAAATAAAATATAATTGATCATTAAAAAAATTTAAATAAGCGTTATGACGGCAGTACTTCCATGATCGAAAAGTGTGCAAAACGAACCAAATTATTAATTTTCACAACCGTTTTGAAAAAAGTAAAAGAGTAAGCCAACCCTAATAAAAACTAAAGTTTCACATTAACACTATTTAGTGCTTTTAAGTACAACAGCAACATGACTACAAGAGAAATCTCAGAATACCTCCACAAGTTAGTCCGTTTCCAGGGCTGTTATTATCATCGCTTTCATCTTTATGTCGATGATCCTGTTCAACACTACTGTCTTGGTTCTTCTTGCTGCATTTTTTGTTCATTCTTCTTTTATAGACCATTTTCTCAAAGAAAGCTTCTTTTTCATTTGATCCACCGCGCAACTTTTTAGGGTTGCCACTTTTAGCTGCATTCCGATTGCTGCTACTGCTGTTGTTAATTTTGTCCCCTGAGAAAGAGAAAAATGAAAAGTTTTGCATAATAATGTATGAGTAATTGTTAGATGCCACACTTTAATATATTTGAGAAGCTCGTTCAAAAAAGAATTAAGGCCAAATCTAGGTCAATGACATTTATGATTAGTGCAAATGGACTGGCAAAACAAATTTGAATTTATTTGCTAAGTATTTTCGAGGTAATGAATTCTGTCCAGAGAGATAGCCGGTAGCTAGCGCTACATTTTTAGTGGCGATGTAGAAATGAAAAAGGTTAAAAGTTATTTATTCTCCTTTATGCACTTGCTTCAGATGTACCGACGACACACACAGATACGTAAATATGCGAGCAAATCCGGCATTAAACACATTGCATATGACTGACGTGGATCCCTTCGCATTTGGACTCAGTCACATCGATCTGGTTAATTATTGGACTCCTGTCCATTCTGTCCATTCGTGGACTTCTGACACAATAAAATGTAATAGATTTTAACATCATGCTTCAAAAAAAAACCAATAAAGTTATAAATCTGAAATTGCTGTGGAACGAGAATGTACTTATTACTTTACTTAAAAAGCTGAACCGACAAACATGGAAATTTTAAAGAAAACAAACAGAATTTGATCAATCAATGATTGTTTGGTTAAAATTGGTGCAAACAACTGATCCGACAATTTGCACGCCTGCTACATGAAAAACGAGAATATCTTTGCATCTGAATCCCGTCATTGCAAAGCGAGATATATAATTATGGAACAATTACATTAAGTACAACGCAATAAATCAATAAATGAGAGAATGAAAAAAATTACAAATAAGGCCAAAAACTAATGACGAATGATGTCACAATCTTAATTTCGATAACGCCTGTCAATGGAAACTTCACTGTAATCCAAAAAAAATTTTTTTTAATCTTGCCACTGTTTATAAAATTTTAAAATATGGCGTCACAAGACACTGAATAATTACGACTACAAGTTTTTGCAACAATGCAGTACCTTACTGCTGCTTGTTAAAATTGATCAACCATTAAATGTCACGCGCTGGTTAAATGCATTATATTTGTTGACTCATTGTTAATGTTGACTCCCTTTGAGTTAAAATGTTTAGACTATTTCAGAAAAATTACTCTGGACGAATAATAGTTTGATGTGTTTCTCTTTGACGAGCGTTTATAATATAGAATCAGTTATTGTAAGTAAACAAAAAACATACCAGACTCATTCATCTTCTTCCTTGGTTTTCTGGTTTGTTTGCCAGGCAACTGAGTAGGTTGCAGTGGAGATGATAGAGTCGAGTGACTGAGCCTGAAGAAATAGTTTTTAATGAAACAATTTACAAACTAAAATAAAAAAAACTGAAATATAAATCATCTAAACTTACACTGGTGAACCAGACATTTGAATGAATGTTGGCATGACAACTGACAAAGAGTTTGAGGATAATGCTGTTGTAACTGTTAACGGACCAGATGATGATAAAACATGTGACACTGCAGTAGAAACATCCAATGGTAGTTCAGAAGATATAGCAGCTAAGCTCGAAGTCAGCTGAGTCGCAACTGAGCTTGAAGTCAACTGAGTTGTATCTGAGCTTGAAGTCAGCTGAGTTAATGATTTTCTTCTTCTTTGACTGCTAGTAGGTGATAAAACGCTGTTCTTAGAAGTTATGCTGGTCATCTTTTTTGTGTTTGGGCTGCCACTTTTCTTTCTAACACTTTTTGATTGATTTGTAACTTTTACATTCGACGTTCTCAAAGTGTCTGCGTGAATGAAAAAAAACTAAAACATATTTTTAAATGAAAACAAATCACTGAACCTTTTGAATCGCAGTCATCATTTTTTTTGTTGCTTTCTTGGTTAGAATACAAACTATGCAAAGTTGAAAGTGAATTTTGTTGTTGTATGGTTGACAGTTGTTGTGCAAAAATTTGTTGCTGAGAAGAAAATGGTTGTTGAACAAAAATCCATGGAATCAGACCCAATGACAAGACCTACAAAAACGTATTGATCAAGCTGTCAAATCATTTAAGAATTCGACCTACTATCTAAAAACCCAAAACTCTTAAATTACAGCAATCAGGTGCATGGTACGAAATTGCTATACTAAATCCATCAAAAAATAACTTTTCTAATCTGTAAAAAAATATTACGGACAAAAAGGTCAGTATGAACAAACAACAAACAAAATTATCGCACAAGAGTTAGTTTGCTCAGATCTATGCACGAAAAGATTTTCACAACTCGGACAATGGTATCAAAAAATCGTAGCACTCCGAATGTTGAGAACCACCCTCTAAATTAAAAGTTTTCCGTAAAACTTACTAAAAAAAACTTTTTCAAACCTTTCGTCCCCATCCCCATCATCAACTTTTACTCCGTCAGATCCACGCTTCCACAATCGTCAATACTATCAACTCTTTAGAATCCAACCCACTGCTCAAAAGTCATCCACCTCCTTTCACAAAATTGAAGCACCACTCGCTTCCAAAACAAGAACCATCCTGTCACAGCTTTGCTGCAGTTATTCTACCCACCTCAATAGTTGCCTCCGCTACATAAATAACACCATCCTCGACCAATGCAACCTCTGTCACTCACCCCACCACACTACTCAACACCTTTTCAACTGCTCTGCCACTCCCACAACTGTCACTACCGCCGACTTTTGGGCAGACCCGGTGGCCGCGGCTTGATTACTGAAAGTTGCTTAGTTTAGAATGGGTGCCTAGTGGCAAGCTACAACAACAACCAGACATGATAAAATATAAACGCAGTGTTTCAAACAAAAACATGAAGACTAATTATAAATTTGTAATCACTTTCTGCTTTATTAGTTGAGTTTCTTCTTCCGAACAATTAAGCAGAATTGACTTTAGTTCGTCAACAAATTCAGCAGGATGGGCAACTTGCCCTCTGTTCAATTTAATCTTCAAATCTTCAAACAATGCCAGCACCTGAAAAGGCACAACAAAATGAAATATTCCTTCCAATTAACCATTTACAAATTATGATACGCTCTTCGTAATTAAAATTACAAATCAAAAACTTGCTGATTTAGCTGAAGTCAATGATCAAAATATTGACAAAATAATTCAGCTCATTTAAAATAGTTCAACTACAAGGAAGATAAAAGATAAAAGAAATATCAAACCAGCAAACATTTTATGAATTGATATGAGCGGCGTTTTTGTACTACTTTACTTTCCTTAGAACAATATTTATCGTTTCTTGTTCAAGTATTATAGTAATTTTTGCGAATCCTACCTCGATTAATTCAATGAAATCGGAATCATCGTTGCATGGAACGAAGAATAAATTTCACTTTTAAAATTTTATATTTTACAATTATACCATGTATTATTACTTTCTGTTATCAAAATAAATTATTAGGAGATTGTTTTCATAAATATATAGCATATAAATACCTTTTAGGCAATATATAATTTTTCCCCCAAACAAACTCTATTTAACGAAAGTTCTATATAATAAATTTTTTTCTGTAACCATCAAAATCGTTATTCGGGGGTCCGATTGTATATAATTAGAAAATATATTTTAGTTATAATTCACCTTTCGCAAGATGAATAAACATAACTTATTTATAAATATAAATGCTGAATCCCTGGAACCATACAATCAAATAAGTTGATCACTAAAGTTTGATAATTTTTAAAAGTCATGTGCAAGCCTAAATATATTCTAACAAGGTTTTAAAAAACTAACATTATTTGGAATTTTGATTAAAAAAACAAGTGCATAAAAAAAATTTAAGAAAATTTGATTTTATTGAACTAAAATTGTTAACATTCAACAATTTGCTTCTTCCTAATTATTCAAGTCAACAATTTTTTATGCTCAAGAATTATGGAAATAATTTTGAACAGCAAAAGTTTTAGCTTTGAAACAGAGACGAGTCGAAATGGTTGTAATTTAAAAAAATTCTTGTAGACAAACGTTGTGCTAAGTCAATTACCCTGAAGTCTGTTAAACACAATTTCTACATTTTATCCAATATATTTCAGTTTTCATGAAAATTTTGAATAAATGCAAAAGTGGTTTTCCACTATTGACATGATTAAATATAAAATGACAGAAACAAATAATTTAAAAAAAAATTAAAAACAGATTTGGAAGTAGAAGCTTGATGGTAAATTATAACAATATTTTTTATTGTGGTAATTTTAAAAGTTTAAGTTAAGTTAAGTTAAAATAAAAATAAATGAATTTTAAATTATTTGTTTTAAATCTGTGGTTCGAACCAGTTGAAAAATTAGAACTAGATAGAAAATTGAAAAAATTAAAAAAATTTAAAGACTAGGGTCAAACTGTGATGGCGGAAGTGGCAGAACAATAGTGTAATGGTTAAGGTGCCTGGCATTGCTGATGCAGTGTCCCGGTTCGAATGGAGATCTCCACCTATCAAACGCAAATAAGTTTGTGAAGCGTTGATTCACGGATACAACGGGTGTTTGTTGTAATAATAATAATGCGCCTCAATCGCTTTCTATGGCGCTATAATTAATGATGATATACAAATGTCCAACCAATCAATCTTTGTTTAGCGTCCAGAGATCCAGTTCCCCGAGGTAGGACGTTGTTTTCTTTGCCATCAACTTTTTGCGCCAAATTAGACGATCAGTTGTATCCATTTCATTTAAATTTAAAGCTTTCATGTTTTGCTCGATTGTTTGCGACCAGGGCTTCTTTGGACGGTCTTTGGGGCGTGAGCCAGGTACTTCAACATCTGCAAGAGAAATTATGGCGCTGTTTTCACTTTGTTTGACATGACCAAACCACCGCAGACGGTGTTGCTGGCATTCGTCCTTTATATCATCTAAACCAGCACGACGCAGGATTTCGGTAGATTTGATGTGGTCCTTCAGACTAATTCGTTGCATCCATCGGAGCATTTTCATGTCGGTTCGTTGAAGTTGTTGTTCCAGTTTGGTTGTCATTGGCCATGTTTCTGCACCATATAACAACACCAGACGTATTACAGATTTATAAAGTCTTGATCGTAGTGGTAGTGGGATGTCACGCCACATCAATATAGAGGCAAGAAGACGCCATTTATTCCAGGCTGCACATATGCGTGCTCGAACGGCAGCTTCAGCTGTTCCAGTACAAGCCAGAACATTCCCTAGATAATGAAACAATGTGACTTTCTCTACCTTAATGGCTTCAAAAACAGTGCTATTTCCTATTTGTTGTTGTGGATTTTCGCAAGCAGGACAAACAAAATTGGACACTTTATATAAAGTACCAATTATTTTTGAACAACGTTTATGACACCACTGGTTACACTGCTGACACTTGATTGAATTGTTATTTACACCAGCTTTACAAACTGAACAGGGCCATCGTCCAGTAGCTGTGGATTAGATGGGTTCACCAGTGTTCATTGCTTTGGTTTTGCTGATGTTGACTTTGAATCCATGATTGGCGAGTCTGGTTTTCCAATCTTCAAACATCTGTGCTGCATTCTGCTCAGACGTGGCTGTTAAAACGATATCATCAGCATATATTAGATTCCAAATGTCACCAGTGCGTATCAGTTTTGTGATTTCTTCCATCACAGTTATAAATAACAGTGGACTGAAAATCGAGCCTTGGTGAATTTCAACGCCAATGTCAAATGCATCTGTGTTTCCAACCGTTGTGCTGACGAGAGTCTTAGTATTCGTATACATTTCCATCACAAGATATTCTGGAATGAGTTGTCGACGTAGATTCTACCTGATTGCTTCACTGGGAACTCGATCAAATGCTTTTTCAAGGTCTACAATAATGTGTGATAGTTGTTGATGCTTTGCGAGATACTTCTCTTGCAGTTGCCAAAGAATGTGAATTGCATCAACTGTTGATTTCCCTGCTAGGAAACCAAATTGATAATTTCCAATTGTGATGCACGACGTTAATCTTCTCAATGATTTTCTCGACAATTTTTAGGAAGTGTTCTAACAGACGTATACCCCGATATGATGAACAGTTCAATGGATCACCTTTGCCTTTGTATAGAGGAACTGTCATGCTATAGTTCCATTCGGTCGGCATTGAGCAATTTCTCCATACTTTACGGCAAAGTTGTAGTAACGTTTGGATACCTGCAGTACCAAATGCTTTGATAATGTCATTTGTGAGTCCAGAAAGCCCTGCTGCTGCCATCCTTCATAGCTTTCAGAGCTTCTGTAAGCTCCTCTACAGTGATGTCTGAAATCGGACTTCGATGGGGGGAGCGTCAGAATTGACATTGATGGGATTTGTTTTATTTAACACACGGTTGAAATATTCTCTCCACTGTAGCTTGATCTCATCTTGTTCAAGAACCATCTCATTTTTGTCGTTTTTGATACATGAGGCACCAACTATGTCTTCTTTCGTACGCTTTGCTGGTTTTGCTATACGATACAGAAATTTCATTTGTTCACTTTTGCTCTTTGTGCGTTCCAAGTCTAAGTACCATAGAGGGGCCATTCTGAATTTTTCTGCAACATCCCTCCGCTATTGCATATTTCCCAGGGATTCTTAGCACTCCTTGACCACTTAAGGCCTGCTGGGGACTAGGGGCCGTTGTTTTTGTTTTTGGTGGCATAGAATAATTTGGGGAAAGTTTTTACATCCGGACACCCATCCTGACGACAAACCACCAGTTATAAGTTTTATGTCATGCCCAGGACTGGATGATATACAAATGTTGCCAATATCTATTCAAAGGACAAATTGTATAATATATATTTTATTTTTTTTCTTTATATGTATTTTGTTCTTTATATGTGTTCTTGATATGTTCTTTTTATTTACATTCTTTATATGGTTATTGTTGTTTTTGTTGTTGTTATTGTTAAAAATAAAAAACAAAATATATGGCCGAAACTTCAAAAAATGTCACACCATCAGCCACAATTTGGGTTTAATTGTAACTACAAAATATAAAATATTACCTAATGATCATAATAGAAAACTGAAAAAACTAAAAAAAATGATTCTACTTTCTTTGACTGGAATGAACTAAAATGCTTCAAGATTTCATCAATGATTTGAACCATTGCATGTGCACCTTCATTAATTACTGATAATTCACACTCAAATTGCTTTTCTCTAACTCGAATCTGAAAAGTAAGACCGCAAAAAAAGTATTAGAAAAATGCTAATAATTTAGTTAACCGTTAGATTAAAGCAAAATTTTATGCACCATTTAAACTATTTAAATGATTTATAAATAGAATAAATGAACAGCGAAACGATGATGACCTGTTCAGCCTTTAATTTCTCTCTCTTCCTCACCAATTCAATCAACAGTCGCACCTTCTCCAAATCCCTCCTCAACATGTGGCTTATTCTCAAATGTTCCACAAAAGATTCGTATTCGTCATCATCGTCTTCGCATACGTCGCTCATTACATCATCATTATCACTACTGTTCTTACAGGCCACATCCTCGTTAGATGCACCCATCTCATCAGCTTTCTTCTCCTTTGAATTCACGGTTTCTAAACTTTGTTGTGTGATTTTTGTGCCGTTAGAACCAACTTCAGTTATTTCATTTTCAAGACTGTCATCGTCTTCAACATCGTCAGGCTGGTGTGAATCTTTATTCTCTTGTTCCTTACTCGACGCTTGTTGTTCGTTGGGACCTGCAAGAAACTGTTGAAAACCATTTTGACTAAATTTGACAAAGTTTTCAAATTTTAAACTGGTAATTATAATTAATTCATTACATTGTTAGCAGCTTTGCTTTTGAAGTGCTGATGCTGAAAAAATGTAAAAGCCTCAAGTCATGGAACTTTATGTAATTCAATTCTAAAAAAACTTTACAACTAAAATAAAGAAGAAAGTTTCAAACAGTACAACATTATAGTCATCAAAATTACAAAGAGATGCTTTTAAATTTCAAAATAGATAAACTTGCAGAATAAATCACAAACAAAATTTTCATTCAGTTCAATAAAGAAAAATTAACCTGATTAACATTGAGAATTTTGATGTTCTCACCAAACTTTCTTGAATTCAACAGTGGATACCCATCTCTAGATTGCCTCTTTAGTGTCCAGTATGAATGCAACCTGCCTACAAATGACTCGGACTTGTCCACATTAAACTCACGAGCTTTCCTCGTTATCTTTGTTATGCTGTTCAACGATTACAAACATTTTGCAATTCAATGATTTCTGAATGATGACTTTGTTCTAATTTATTTAACTAAACAAAAATTCAATTGCAAACAAAAATGTAGTCATTTAAAAAGCCAAAGGCAAGTTTGCCCATGCCCTTGAACTTCATGCCCGCTTAATCTATTGGCTCACATGCAGTTAGACAGGTATGCAGATTTAAAATTTTTCGATAGTTTTTTTAATTTAGTTTACCACGAAAGTACCTCAACTGATTAATTATCATTTAGGATGGACAGTAATCAAACCTTAATCTTATTCATTATTAGGAAGCAGTCAAAAATGATTTAGAAAAAATTATATCTGAAGTATATATAAGTCTAGTTAAACAAAAGAAACATCACTTAGATAAATTTAATGTTTTGTTGTTGTTGTTGCTTTGCGTTAGATAACGGCTTATTGGATAAAACGGGAGCGGAGCCAATTTGCCACTGCGATCGGGTTTAGGGGGCAGCTGACCAGAAATGACATCATCAGGATGTTGATGGCAAAATGAACAAATTTTGTTGAGCCCACTGTTTTGATTCTGGATTTGTAGCTACTAAAAAAAATGTTGTGGCCAAAGCAGAGCCAGGCTAGGCTACTGATTGTCAGGAGCAAATTTTTTCTTCTGACTTGTCTATTTGTTTGTCGCGACGGCCATTTATTAAAAAGCACCGAAGCGTGGTAATACTTGACGGCGGTCCAGCTTGGTAAAAAACAATGAAGCTTGGTTGTGAACGATAACAGATGCAGCCTTCAGTGTGGTTTTGTAGGAAGCCCCGATTAAAATGTTGGTGAACGTAGGGTGTCCTTCATGTTGCGGTAAGGAGGATCCTGTGTTAGAATGGTGTGGCAAGGGTGCTGCAGACTGTAGCACCATAGGAAGTTTAGAATGTCCGAATGCTACCTCACAAAGAGCATCAGACACTAAGAGAGCAGATGTTCTGTTACAATGTAAAGTTGCATTCTGTTACCGTCGTAGTTGGTTGGTGTTGGAGTCTGACGTCAGTAGAGACAAAGCAGGACAAGCATACTTTATGATTGGACGACCAATGGCTTTGTAGATTTGTAACAGAGTTTCTTTGGTGGTTTCACTGAGCGCTTGGAGGCCTTTGATGCCGTCAACTTATGGTGATGTAAAGTCAGTATAGCGTCGAATGTGCCGGTCGGAAGCCGTGTGGATGATTTGCCAGAGTTAAGTGATGTTTGGTGATGATTTTTAGAAGACATTTTTCTAAGTAAGACCTTTATTGCTAAGCATAATCGTTATCAGGTTTACCTGGTTCAAGTACAGAAATTATTTTTGCTTTTTTGTATAGGTCTGGAATTTTGCAGGAACGAAGTAATTCGTTGAAGATTTTGGTTAGGTTGACAATTCCCTGTGAGCGCAGATGTTATGAGGTTGAAGATGGTTAAATTATCTGGTCCAGTAGCTTTTGACTGCCTTGAAAGCTTAATGGCTGTTAAAATCTGTTCAAAAATAAAAATAGAGTAATTGCCAAGGTTTATATTCTTCACGACGCGTGTGGTGGTCCTGCTTACTTGCGTTGTTATGGTATTATTTAGGTTTGTCATTTAAAGATTTTATGGTGCCCAATAGGCGCATTGTGTTAATGTTCTCATTTTTGAGGGAAGTAAATGATTTGCATATGCAGGTTGTTGGAGATAAGCTTGTTGTTGGAACTGATGGCGTTGTTTTGGTATTGTTTAGTTTTCCATTCAAGGATTTTATGGAGCTCCAAAGGAGCTTTGGGTTAGTGTTTCAGTTGAAAGTGTTGAGGATGTCCTTCCAACGTGTTGATTTGAAACTATTGATCTTAAGTTGTATGCTAGCTGAGAGCATAGCAATATTGTTTAATGAAGGATCGGTAGATCGAAGAATACCACTCTGTTTTATTAGGTCAGTAATTTTCTTCGAGGGACCTGGCTTAGAGTGTATGTGTCTGCCCAATGAAATGGCTGGAATCCAAATTTTGCGGAAAGGTTTCTTAGCAGGTCAGGAGGAAATGTTGTATTTGTTCGAGTGGCTTCTGTTTCGGCTTTAAATCCATACCAAACTGCTCTGGTGAAATTGATGGATTTTATTTTAAGTGTTTTTGTAGATGCATAGTCTGCTTAGAGTGTGATGTAAAAAGGAAGGTGATTATAGAAAAGAGCAGTTAAGGTGGACCAGTCCATGCTTTTAATCTGGGAGCCAGAGGCAATTGAGATGTCTGGTGACGATGGTTGACCATTGGATGGCAGGCAAGTGGGAGCATCCATGTTGAATGTACCACAGCTTGATTTGTCGATTTTAGAAGCGCTTTATGTGCATTCATGCCACCTAATAAGAGTGTGTTAGGCAGAACGAGGAAATGTGATATTGATGCTATGAAGTTTGACGGAAGTAAATTGTGGAAGTAAGTAGATACTGATGATGTTGATTTCTGCAATGTTGGCCTTGATGATAATTGCTTGGCTTTCTGTTGTGTGCTTGGCTTTCTGTTGTGTATGAACCTGGTAGGTGTTTAGTGGTGAATGGAATGCTGTAGTGGATCAACATGAGCAGGCCACCAGCTCGTCCATCTCCTCGGTCTTTGCGATAAATAGAGTAGTTTAAGAGTTCTGAAGCCCTGGCTCTCTGTGTAAGTTTTGTTTCCTGATTCCACAATAAAAAATATTGAGTGTTGTGAGGTTTAGCTCAATTTCTTTACGTTTCCCCTGAAGCCATTGCAGTTTGGTTAGAAAATGTTGAGATGTCCAGCAAATTGAGCATATATCTTGATACTGGTGAAATAACGACAAAGGAGCGCAGCAAAAAAGGCGCGGACAAAAAGAGCGCAGCAATAAGGGCTTAGTGTAAATAAGGCGCTGTCAAAAAAAGCGCATACAATAAGGGCACAAAACAAAAAAGACGCAAGATAAAAAGAGCGCGAGCTATAAAAGCGCGAGTAATAAGGGTACTGGTTGTTGATTTGAGTTGTGGTTGATGAATGTTGGTAGTCGAGGGGACGAATACCCGGATGACACCGAATTGCTAAATTAATTGTTGGATGAGGGCAGTTTTTTTGACACATGTAGTAATCGCTGAAGGAGGTAGAACAGATGTGCTTATGGGACTATTTGCAGCAGGTTCTGCAACAAACAGTATTGGGTTTTGTCTGTAGATTTTGTTGCAAACGAAACAGATCCAGATCTTCAGACCGAGATTTGACTTAGCACCGGCTCTTAGAAGACTTAGAAGAAGACAACAAAGCAGGCTGGACGATGAAGTCTGCTCCAATAACGAAAACCCGACACAGGATATCAAAGCAGAGAGGGGTTGTTGCAGCAGTTTGATGAAGACGATCTGATATATGTCCAGTCAGTCGCTACAGTTGACTCCACTTTGAAAAGGTTATTGTTCCAAAGCCTATCCATTTAAGCTAATGAATAGATATTCATTTTAGACATTAAATAGATATTTAATAAAGGTATATGATTTATCAGCAACAAAATACAAATTCAGCTCTGTTATTGTATCTAAAAATTAAAAAGCGGAAAATAATTTTTAAAAAGGCTAACTAACTGCTATTTCACCTGTGGCAACTTTTTTTTACATACGAAAAGTCTAATTCTTTCAGAACATATACTTTAATAATTGTGAAAAAGTGGCCAAGACATCTTACAATAAGTTTTAATGTGCCTATAAAATTAATAAAAATTATGAATTAAAAATATTAGTTATTATATTTACCATGCAACATTGACTACAGGTACAAAGATTGGTTGCTCCATGTCAATCCAAAGTGATACAATTTTACGAGCTTGCTTCAATCTAGCCTTCCATGGTATATGTCGTCTGCCTGGTTGGTTTGTCAAATGACAATTAAAATCTCCAACTTGAAAAATAATATTTATATAAACAATTTCATTGCAGCATGTCACATTGTGTTGCAGCGTTATTATTAAATGCATGCATCTCAAAAACAAAAAATATCTGTTTTTACCACTTTCACTTTTCATTTATAAAAATATAAAGCATATTTTTTGCAGCCAATAAAGCTATTAAAACCGAAATTAAATTTTAAACATACTAATTGTAAATGAATAAATGAAAAAACCTGCATCATCTGATTTCGGAACAGATGAATCAACATCGGATTGCTCTAGACTTCTGCTTTCTTCATCAGAAGAATTGGCCCCTTCACTGATCAGATGTTCATTACAGCTCCTCATCTGTTGACTTGCATTTGAATCAAGCCCATCAATTGCTGGTGAATGTACATCACAGTATGTTGTTACTTTCTTCTTCATTACCCCATCCACATCAACATGGCACTCCATTTTCATTGACAAACCTTAAATTTAAAAAAAAATAGTTTACACAATTTTTATATTACGATTTTGTATATTAACAAATTTAAATAGAGCCATTATACAAAACACTTACTAACCAACTAATTGAGCACAGGTTGCATGATAAGCTACATTGCAATTAGAATATTGGCATTGCAGACAGGCCCCTTTGTTTTTTTGACTGCAAATGTAACATACCAACTTCCATCTAGCAGATGAAACTAATTCAATCCCCATAATGGGTTCTCTGGTTGTTTCATCTCCAAAACTTACTTCAGGGATCCAGAAAGTGCAAGTGACATGAGCCCATCTGCCATCTAGCGCCCTTTTCAAAGCTCCTGACTTGCAAGGACACAAACAACAATTTGCTGCAGCTGCAGGTGAGTGAAGACATCTCTTACAAAGCCATATTTCATCAGGCACCCTGACTACCCCATAACATCTTTGGTGCACAGAAAGACTGCACATGTCACAGAACAAAATGGCATTTTCTTCATTGCTTGAACCATCAAGACATATTGCACAGTCAGCTTGATGCTCCAACTCTGGAGGCAATGGTTTGAAGTTTTTACTCATGCAATGAAAAAAGCATTCCTTTTCAAATCGGTCCATCAGTGCTTCAAATGTGTCATACGATACAAATGATAGCCCTGATTTTGTTCTTTGTTCATTCATGAGTTCTAACCAGGCAAAATCCTAAAATAGTAAACCATCTCAATAAATGATAACAACAACAAACAATTCAATAGAATTAAAATGACAAAAATCTCAATGTTTTGTTATGTGTTAAGTGTTAAATTTTTGTTTTTTATTCATAAAGAATAATTATTTTTAAAAAACTTGTAAAAGTTTCCTAATTTATTTCAACACTTTGAAAAATCTAACCACAGAATTTTGAATACTGCAAGAATATAAGCAAACCTTATACTTTATCATCAAGTAATGGTAAAACTCAATTTTGCATATAATTAGCAATATTAAATTTTGCCATCATTTTCAACTCTATAAATTTTTGTCAGCTTTAAAATCATTCTCTCCTTTTAAATTATAAAATGACTTCCTAATAACTTAGAGTTGGTTTTTGCAAATCGTTTCTTCAGTTTGATATTAATCACAAAATTTATTACTGTAGTCACATAATGGCATTAACATGGCAAGTTGAGATGGGCCAATGAAGACAAAATAATATGAAGATTAGAACAATCAACCACTGAGAGCTTATAGCTAACCTTAAAAATAACTGGAAAATGTAGTGAAGTAGTTTCATAAAGACAGAAATACAATTTACGGATTCTGACGATGAGATTTTTGATTGTTGTAAAAAAGTAATCTATCATTTCTTAATGACTTAATCAATTTCAAATTGGGACTCTCTGGTCCAGGCATATTATTTTGCAGAACAACATGACAAATTAATAAATTAACTGAATGAAACTAACTAAAGTTATTTTAATAAGAAATAAAAGAAAATAGGATATAGATAGGGTTATAAAAAAAGAATTTCTTATTCAATAGGAATAGAATGGAGCAATAGAGAATCAATGGAGGGACACCAAACCAGAGCAAACCAAAACATCTTGTCAATGGTCTACTTCTTGAATAAAAATTTTGAATCCAGCTACTGGTAGTTAAATTTAAGTTAGTAACCAGTAAAAATAAAATTGATATTGATAAGACCTGGATAGGTTCGAAAAAACTAAAAATGACATATTTTATAATTTTATACATAATACTTAGGAAAAGTATAATTTTCTGCCTACCCATACAATTAATTTTGTGAGAAAAGCATGGAAGTGAGAGTATAAATAAACTTGAAGTGAACTTAGATTAATAATAATAATAATAATTAGAATGTTAATCTCATATTACTTTGAATAATAAACATTTGATTCGGCACATTTTAATAAATAAATTGAAAAAGAATAGCATATTTACAATGGTAGTGTTTTAAAAAAACGGATTCATATTGGATGTGCATAGAAAGCAAGAAATTGTGCTTTTATGCATTATGCAGGTAGACAGGAAAGTATACTTATCTATATGTATCTTTAACATTGGTAGGCATTAAGATTAAAATACATTTTGATGAGTGCTTTTTACCATTAGCAGGAGTAAAGTAAGTGTTAATGTACTTTGAGTGGTTGGTGGCTCTGAAAAGAGCTGTTAACTTTCACCAACTTAAAAAGCGTGAAAATACTCTTAGTCTTAGCTTAGAAATATAAATTTTAATCTAAAAAACCCAAACCTAATCCTATCTCATTTTTTATACAAATTACACAACGTGAATTAACGTTAAAATAATGCCAATTTCACTTTTCACTTTATTTATTTTATACTTTCATTTTCATGCTTATCTCACAAAATTAATTGCATAGGTGGGCAGAAAAATATACTTTTGCCTATACTTTTTACTTTTTAGAACAATTTTTAAACATGATGGGGAAAAAAATATATATTTTTAAATTTTTTAAGAGCTGGTGGCTCAACTCTCAACTCAACCTCTTCATCCATATCATACTCCAACTTGGCATCCAATTCTTCCAATGTGGGTTTCACATATTTGTAATATTGGTCTGTTTGCAAGGGAGCCCTTGGTGGCAGGACGTAATCCTCTAAAATACGGTAATCATTTTCAATGGACATCGCTTTCTGTGGTGCAAATGTAAATGCAATTGCGTCGACTGCAGTTGTGATTATGTAATAATATGTAATCTAAAATGTGTTTATTGTAAACTTCATTTATTTATTAGCAAAATCTAAAAAATTGTGAAAAAGTGGATTTAAAGTTTAAACCGAAATTAAAATTAACAATGCACCAAATACTTATAATACCTATACTTGCCCTCGAACGCACCCTCGCACATTCTCGACGCGCTTTAAAAAAAAACCACGTTCTCCCGTTCACCCAGTCCGTATTTATCGCTCAGCTGTTTGGTTATTTCTTTCTTAGCAAATAAAGTTGTTAATTATAATAAAGTTCACAAAATTTATCAATCCTCCTCGTTTTTGAAGATAATTGTAAATGTTATTAAGTTGTTACCTGTTACTAACATTTCATAACATTTAAGTTTAATTTATAGTATAAAGCTTTTTTCAATTTTACTACCTTTAATTTATGAATATAATATATGACTTCATTTTCACTGTTAAATACGTTTTTACACAATAAAAATAAGTTATCAAATATTTCACCATAACATTACGTAACATAATATACATATAATGGGCTCAAGCTGAAAAGTCAATTTGTCTATCTCTAAAACAATTACAATGTTTCCCAAAGAAAATGTCTTTACGATGCATAAATGTTTAAAATCAAATTAATTTAAATTTTAAGTATATAACTTAAATATTCAACAGCTATACATATATCAGATTCAAAATTATTAAAAATTTTATGATCAAATTAATGACGATAAAGTGTTTATCTTATATCAATCAATCAATCAATCAATCAATCAATCAATCAATCAATCAATCAATCAATCAATCAATCAATCAATCAATCAATTAGTTTATAAAGCGATATTTCCGCGATGTTCAACAGCGCTTCTCAATGAATTTTGCAGATGGGTCTTGAGATCCGCTCTGAACTTTGTAAGTAATGAAGAAGTAGTCAGAGAAGGAAGTAGAGAGTTCCAAAGAAAGGGGCAAAAAAAGCAAATGCAGATTTAGCTAAAGAGTGTTTAACAAGGGTTAAGAAGAAGTGGGAACAAGACGACGATCGTAAACCGGTGCTTTTAGGTTTAATTAATATATATAAGTACTTAGGAAATAATTTAAATTAAAACTTAAACATGAATGTGCAAATTTTAAAAATTATTCTATATTTTATAGGCAGCCAGTGCGCAAGAACAAGATATGGAGATATATGAAAAAGAAAAGGGCACGAGCAACCAGACGAGCAGCAGAGTTAAAGCTTTACTTAAAGGATAGAGTGTAGATTTAGGAAGACCATAGTAGAGCGAGTTATAATCATACACAAATTCAAAGTCGTTCATAAAAGCATCTAATTTCATCTTGAAGTGTTTCACATTTGCTGCTTCGACGACCTCTTCTGGAAGTCTGTTCCATAGAGCCGCAATTCTATTTGAGAAAAAGTTCTTCTTAATATTTTTACTACTTCTCATCAGATCCTATTTGAGACTGTGACCTCTTAGTCTGTTATCACACCACATTACCAGTTTAGGCTGACAAATATTCACATTTCCCAGCATATTGTAAAGATAAATCAGGTCACCCCGGACTCTTTAATATCTGAGACATGGCAGCTTTAGATATTTCAGTCTGTTGATGTAACATAAACGTTGACACTCTTTGACCTATTTAGTCTAAATTTGACCTGATTAAGGATTTATTTCTCTATTAATATTTCTCGCATAGTCCAAGAAAACCAAACAGACGTATTCCAATTTCAACCTGACTAAGATTTATACAAAATTAGGAATGATGTTCTATTTAGATGACAGACACTTCTTAAAATTAAACCCAGTATAGAAAATGCCTTGCCAATTATTGTGTAAATGTGATTGTAAAATTTAAGAGAGCTGCCAAATAAAATACTTTGTTAACTTGTTCATAATTCAATAAATTTAAATCTCCAATCTTGTAAAACTATTCATCATCAAATTATTTCCTTTTTTTAATGTCCTGCATTTAGCAATATTTAAGTTAATGCCCCACTCTTATACCACTTAGCTAAATTATTTAAACAATTTTGCAATTCTTTTCTATCTTTATCTTTGTCAACAATTCTATTTTATAATTTTGCATCATCTGCATACAAAAGCAAATTACCTGAGGAACCATTATTGATCATATTAAACATGTCATTAATGTATATTATAAATAATAATAAATGACCTGCAGATTTGTACAAATATTCACTCATTTAAAAGATAAATCATTGTGTTGGGCTGCGCGCACATTACTCTTTTATTCCGGTCGATTTTTGTTTACAAATGCATGGTAGGGTAAACAAATTTTTTACTTTCTTAAATTTGCTATAACTAGGTCAATTTTTGGTATTTTTGGTTAGGTTGCTAATGAGTTGCAGATTATGGGTATAAAGTTGAACTTAAATTTTTTTCTCGTGCATCTACCTACAGTTACACGTTGAGTTAACGTATTTCTTGTTAGTTTGTGTTTTTGTTTTGCATGGTAACGTAGGATCTTGAAGCTCGCGCCCAGAGCCGGCGCTTATGCATAAGAAGCCGGGTTCAAAATTAAATTATAATAAATATAACCGTTTATTTTATGTATATAGACGTATATACACAATAAGTGTGTGAGAGATATAAATATATGTGTGGTGCGTGTGTGTGTATGTGTGTGTGCGTATGTGTGTGTGATGTATCACATAAAAACATAGATGCATGCGGTGTATGCATGTTCGTTTGCATATGTGTGTGTTTTTGTTACAAATATGCCAGTGTTTAACTAAATTTTGTGTATGTATTTGTTATAATGATAATAAAATTTGTGTATAAAAATATGTTATATTATTGATATCGAGTGAATATATCGGAGTTGTTAGTTGGTTGGTTAGTTAAGTTACACTGGGCCATTAAAGGACATTCCGTTGATGGTTGTGCGCTCAACCGCGAATGCTCACATATAATTTGCGACAAAGGCATTGTTGCAGGCTGCAAGAAGTAATTGTATGTCTTCCAAATACTACTAATGCCGAAATAATTATCATTTAATCGTTTGCATAAGAATGAGCCTGGAAGGATTGCTTTTAAATGAGCGACGCAATGTGTCAATTTCGTTTGCATGCCGACACAGCACAGTGAAAATTGCAAGCAGGCATGCAGCACAGCTCACTGAAAATTGCATTGCAGTGAGTTACATTTTTGATTTTGTGAGCAACTTCGTGCAGTATTTTAATTTTGAATTTCACCAACTAACTAAAATTATTGCAACTGCAAAAATGGTTACGACATAAACTCGTAAGTATAAAAGATGAACGTAACACTGTACGAAATTCATGTGAATAAATAGCTTAATAATATGTTTATTCTACGACCTATCAGTGTTTCAATAAGCATTAGATATATGTTATTGGGGGAAATTTTTTTGGTATTTCAGTGTTACAATAAGCATTAATCATGTCACGTATATTAAGGCTGAAAAATTTTCATGTCAACAATATGAAAGAAAATCGTCAATATCAAATTTTAATTAAAAGTTGTTAGAGCATATTGCTATGAAGCTGTTTTGTTTCGTTAGCCAATATCATTGAGGCTTCATCGTTCCTTTATGTTTTATATTTTTAAACCAATCTTCAGCTAGAAATTTTTCAATATAAAAAATGTCAAACTAATAAAATAGTTACACATTTCTGATTAATGAATAATATTATTATTAATATTAGTGGTTCATTATTATTAAAATTTATTATTTTTTTACATTATTTATTATTATTAATACTACCCTAATTAATTCTCACAGGTTTCAACAACCCACACACACTGAACTAGTATGGGACCACGCACCATACACAACACACCGCATACATGGAATCTCTTTGAATTTCCATTCGAACAATATAAGAACAATATATATATTTAAATATATTTATAAGAACTATATATATATTTAAGAAATATCAAAGCATTTTCAGCTATGATCAGATAACTGATCAAAGCTGAAAATGTAGTGATATTTCTTAACAATTGTATCTACGACAGTTTCAGCTCTAATTATATGTATATGTATATACATACACACATACATATATATATATATGTACATATATTCGCAAATTTGCAATAAAAAATAGTCGCAAATTTTCTTTTCACCTTAGAACCCGACACCACCTTCTAAGCCTAATGTTCAGACCTGTCTTTATTTTATTTTATTTTAATAATTGTTAGTTTCGTTAATGTACTGTCTTTATATTTTCTTTTTTTTTAATTTTATATTTACGTACTTTATGTTGTAGTTAAGTTACATTGTTAGCTTATTTTGGCTTTTGGCTCTTCTTTAAATAAAAGAAATGTAATGAAAAATTATATATATATATATATATATATATATATGTTCACAACTCTCAAGAATAGACATAGATTCAATAACTGTTAATGATGAGGTCATCCCATTTTGTCAGACATCAGCTAAACTGGGCTTCATAATTGATTCAGGTTTGTCAATGAAACAACACATTAAGAAGCTCTCAGCCGAATGCATGTTTCAAATCAGGAAAATCAATCAAATTCGACGATCCCTAGATGCGTCCACGTTGCAGACGTTGGTTCATGCATTTGTGCACTCACGCGTCGACTATTGCAACAGTTTGTTTTATGACTTACCTGATCGATCCATGGCTGTACTGCAGTCAATACAGAATCGAGCCGCAAAAGTTGTTGTTGGAGCTCTAAAATACGACCATGTGTCTCCAATGTTGAAGGAACTTTATTGGCTAACCGTCGAAAAAAGAGTGTTGTTCAAAATTTCAACACTTGTCTACAAGCCTCTATATATATATACATATATATATATATATTATATATATATATATATAGTGAGTCGACTTGAATTATTATTATTATTATGTTATTCACTGTATTGACATTCCTCAGAAGATTACTGTGAACACCTAACTCGTTCTAGGCTAGGCGCACTTAGTCCCTTATGGGACT